ACAACTACAACTACGACTACAACAACTATTCAAGAAGGAGGTAAGCTTTTTAGATCATTATTCTCAATCATCCTCAATTCTTATTTCGAATCGAAGACCTGTAGTTATTTTTACGCTATGTCACTGTGTGGATATCTAAAGTTTAACTTGTTGAACTTAGTTATTTTATATTATGAGTAATTTAACTGTCAGCATAAGAACAACTGAAGATTTTTCAATTTTCATGTATTATTTAACTATTCTCGGGATAATCAAAATTAGCTTTGCTTTATTGGCATGTTCACGTCAATGGGAACTTATCATGATTATGATCTCCATCGATGAGGCCATTTGTTTACTGACGGTTTTATGAGTCATATGAGTTACGAGCTGACTTCCGTCGAAATGAGAAATTTTTTTTCGAAATTTTTTAACTCTCCTGTAAGCAAAACTGCAAGGTATTAGAAGAAATCCCCGATTGGTCGCAAAAAGTATGCAGTGTTAATGAATTATATTGCTACTGCATCAATAAAATAGTTGCTGAGATTAGATCAAATATTTACAAATTGAAGAACGATACAACCACAAACTCCCAAATTCATAAATCAAAAGACTACAAGCTTCTTTAACTAGAAGCTCAAAGGAGGTTTTAGCTTATAGATGTCTAACAAATGGAAGAAAATGATTCGCATCACGTGCCCTCAGAATTGAAGACAACTTTTCTCCAGATTCGAAGAGAACTACAATTAAGTATTGTTAAATTCAGAAAAACATAAAAATTAAGTTCTTTCGACTTTTGGAAACTTTTTCCTAGTTATGATTATAGTATTGCAGCCCTATCCAGCAATAGATGAAATCAGATCATATGCGGATAAAATGATTGATTCCTACACTATTCTTCTGTTCTTCAAATCGAAATCTTCTGTGATTCTGACAAATTTTGAAAGCTTTTTGTTCGAATTTAGCATCTACATGCTCTCTGGCATTCTCTAATTTTCCGTATTGCTTCTAAGACTGGCTGGTAAGATTGTACATTCATAATGAACGATGACAGTATTTTTTCAAGAAACTAATTTATGTTATTTTGTTCCCGGTTTTTCTTTTCTCGTTTCTTAGTTCAACTATTTAGAGATGTACTTACTTTTATCTCTTCGTCATAAACATGAAGTGCAGTATTTCAATGTTTTCTACCGTTTTTATCACTTTTAAGGCATACTATTTTCGCTGGTTGATTCGTCTGATATAGAAAATCTAATTTTAAAATGGTGGCTATCGATAGATTGTGAACGAGGAAGGGAACTGCTCAGAAACTATATTAAGAGTAAAGAGAACTTCGAAAACATGTTGAATTGGAGAAAACTAAAGAAATTTAAAAAAGACATGTGTTTATATGCTGTATTACATAATTAAACATTCAACACAATCGTATTGTTTAAATCAACTATTTTCATCTGAATAAATTTCTTTGTCTAATAGTATATTCAAAAGCAGTGACATAATTATGTTGAAACTCGTAAAACTGTTGTAACCTAGATATTTTTCTCGATATAATTAAGGGAAAAAAGCTCTCTATTGAGACAACCAATATTCATTGTAAATAGAATTGTCAGTTATCCAATATGTTATAACTATTAACGGAGAGAGTTTGTCTTATATTAGTTTCTATATTTGAAGAATTAAATATAAGACGAAATTGGTTAATCATGACTTTCATGTCTCTGTAAATGTAAGAAGTTCACATATATGTACTTTTTTTTTTATCAGCGCAACTAAATTTCTGACAAAAAAATATGATCATCCATAATTCATATCGAAGTAAACAGTAGTTAAAAACAAAAATTTCATTCTATATAAAAATTTTGAGTTCTTTTGAATATAAATTGCCACCTTCTTTCATGAAATAAAGGTCTACTCCCTGCTATTTAAAAACTTGCTTTTTCCAATTTATTAAGTTTTTGTAATTTCTGATATTTTTTCTATAGGGACATTAGAATCTTATTTCCGACACTATATCATCATTTGAATTTGAGAATGAAACTTGAACAGCAACATATTCTCTAAAAGATTTATCTGAATTTAATTAGTTAATCGAATCAATTCTTTTCATGATTTAAATGGATGGATATATGACCAGTCTAGCGATGCAAACTCTAGAATAAATGATTTTTTGAAAACATTTTCTCAGTGATGAAATCTCAAAAGAGAGTCCAGGTTTCTAAATTGAAATCAAAAATAGTTCAACAAGTGCAGTTTTTATACGATTATGCTGATAGATAATGTCTTACTAAGTTTGAATTTCATTCATAAAATGAAACATCAAAGAGACATGTTGAGTATACATTATGTAGTTTAAGAAATACAACGGAACAAAATAAGTTCTAGTAGAAATATTTAAGTGAAAAATCAAGGTATTCATAAATGATAATCGATGAAATTCCAGCAACTCTGATATGCTTATTTAGATTAGACTAAAGATTATAATCAGCTATTTGCGATTTCTTTTCAATTGACTGGTATTTGATTTGCAGTAATAATCAGTTTCTATCAGTACAGTTGATGAATTGTGTACTATGAATTAATAAGATCGACACTCTTTCAATTAACATATTGAAATTCCACATTATGTCTTATCTGTGTATACCAATTGAAGAAAGTTTTGAAATAACCATACGTATCTATAAGATTTCGTTCCACACTATACGTAATTATATTAATGGCGGGTATCGAGTAGATGCACAGTGTTAGATCTGATACTACACGACAAAAAATATTCATGTTGTAGGTAATTTCAACAAAATTTTGAATAACGCCTCGATATGGCTAATGCTTATATTTTAAATACTTTCAAAAATAAGAAGAATCATTCCAAAGCAAGAGTCACTCAGATTAAAAACTTGTAAAAATTGAAATTGAGAGAATTATTTAAGCTTACATGTGATCGATCTTATTATTTCATAATTTAAAGTTAACTGCAGATCAGACTTATGATAATCCAGTCACACAATATTAATCCGATAGTCACATTAAGGGTTATGAGTGAAAATATAACTATAAACACATAGTTCGTAAGACGCTTTCATTATACTATAAAAAAAACGTGGCTTTCATTTGTTTTCTGTAATTAATATCTTTTTTCCATACATTCAAATTGTTTTAGTAGCACCTCAATGCCTGTTAGATGAAGACTGGATAGATTCGTAAGATTTTTCTTACAAATATTATTTCCATTCACTTGGCTTATTTCAATTGGGAAAGTGTATAAGAAAATATATGAACCCTTACTAATTTTTGTCATAAAAAGAATTTGTTTTTGAAAACGAGATTTTCTGATTTGTCTGCGATTGAGATGATGAATGTGCTCTTCATTAAATTCTCTTATAAAATATATTGAAAATGAAGATTACTTTTTCGAAACCAAATAGCTTGAAAGAAATCGACATCAGTTTATGAATACTTTCTGTTTATACATACGTATATGACGCATTCACTCTATGCTTGTGTAACTATACTACATAATATATTATAACGATGTCAAAGAAAATTTATTGAGAACATACCAAAAATAAGTTTCTACGTTCTATAACAATAACTCGTCTACTTAATGAATATAATTAGTATTAATAGACTCGTAATAATGTATGAAAGAAATATGTTAGCATCTTCTTCTTTTTTTTGATAAGTGATCGAATAAAAATAATATTACATTAAACCCTGTACAAAACATATGAAGTGTTTCAATCTTAAACAATTCTTCAAATCTTACAAAAATCTTTCTCCTTGAACTTACCATTGAGAATTCTTTTCAAACTTTCAAATGTTTTCTTCTAAAGAACCTGTTACAGATTCATTCTCATGATTTCTCTACTCGTTTCTAGAACGACGACTATTAGGAAGAATATTTCTCTAACTTGCGACTTGATAATTCCCTTTATAATTTACATGAATTCCTAAAAAAAACGATATATTGAATTGAAGGAATATTTTCCTACACATTCGAAATTACAGGACTGAGATTTCTATTACTAATTTAGATATTACCCATCAAATTAGCTAATGGTACTCGCGAGAGTAATTCTATTCTTTTCTAACACTAATTGTTAGTATAAAAATAAATCTCACAACAGAATCATCCATTTAGATTAAAACGAAAGCAAATATTTTCCACGATCTCTACATTATCTATAAATAATTTATCTTTCTATTCAATGAGGTGAGGATGACGAAAAGACACAGAGAGACAAAGTGTGACTGAGGGTAGATGTGAGAGTGTTTCCATTCTCTCTCCTATCTCTTTTTCAGTGTAAGGAGATGAGATATATCCATACAGAGAGAGGTAGACCACGATACTTCTATAGCGATATAAGTGTTTTGAATTAGCCACAAATTCAAGTTCCCCATCATATCTTTCGACATGGTAAATCTGACCCGATTCAAGGAGAATCCAGATTTTATAAGAAAACAAAGAAAATAACTAACTGAATCCCATCACCATGTGTCATCAAAATTACAATTCACCCTACAAAATCCGACTAATCGATAATGGTCTAGGATATTTACCCATCGAATTAGATAGAAGTACTCGCGTGAGAGTAGCTCTTCTAGTTAATATTTCTGTTAATGCCACAGAATAATTTATATAGAATTTAATAAAAGATATTCTAGAACATAGTAGTAAGAAATATGTGATTTTCTAAATAGAAAATGTTCTAATAAGTTAGATTTAAGAGAACGAAAACAATTCTAATATTCATGTGAGCCATATATAAGAAATAAATCATTATATTATTATATTCGATGAATGAATAAATTTGTAGAAATCTTACAATCAAAACCTTGTAAACAGATGTTAACAAGAAAGTGATTTAATAATCGGACATATTTTTATTCTAATCTATCGTTCTCTTCACGTCTTGTATATATACAAGCACGTGTATATACACGTGACCTTTTTTTCCTCACCAGCTTTTTACAAAGGTTCTCAAAAACTATACAAGTGTCTTAGTCTTATACGAAAAAATAAAATGAATCATCAATCATGGAATGATCCTAAAGAAGCGGTTGTTAATCCAGATGTATTAGCAAAGATGATTCAACAATTTACAGATCATGCGGATAATAGTGAAAACAAAGGTGACAATGATTCGCCAATTATATCAGGTGAACATCAAGAAACAGTCAGAGATGAAACACCAAACAAACGTAGAAGAAATCTAATTGATGGTGATATTAGTATTATGCAAAGTCCGAAAAATCGCCGCATTCGCGGTAGTTTTGGAAGTAAAGATCAAATTGTTCGTGGACCCATGGCGATACGCAATCAAACCTACATCCATCGAAATGAATCAAATATAAACCAGAACAATAATCAACATCATAATCAACACTCAGCTAATGTAAATAATATAAAGAATAATATGAATATAAATGAAGAATTTTATCGTTATAAAATAAATGATCAATCATTAACATACTCTGTTGATACCCATTTACCACCAATTGTATTTGAATGTCGACCAAAGGTAAAAGAAAAAGATGCAGCTAAACAACTGGTTATGTTATTTTTCAAAGAAATCGAAAACGATTTTCGACAGAAACATCCTAACCATAAAAGAGCTATAGGTTTTGATCATTGGTGGCAAGACTCGGACGTTGTTCGTATTTTAGGTGAAGTTAAGGATGTTGATTTATTTATTTACTTATGTGATGCAAAAAGATATCCAAAAAAATTAAACAATGTTAATATTCTTCCTGATCCACCAAAACGTCTACCACCTCGAAACACTGTTGTAGTTAAATTTGTGAAAAATGATATTGACTTTGATGAATTTCGTCTAGATTTAAAGGAACGATATCAATCTATCTTCACAGTTGAGAATATGATGGGCGCTATGCGCTTCAACAGTCGGCACATTAGGATGGACTTTGGTGATAAAAACGATTATGAATCAATACCAAAATAGCGGTCTGATAAGTATACAAGGTCAATTATACGAAGTAGATGAGTATTTACCGGCCCCAAAAAACTTATATGCTCAAAATGTAATGAACCAGGGCACATTAAAAAACAATGTCTTTTATCGTATGAGAAATGCAGAAAATGCGGTGGTGATAGAAACGATGACAATGATCATAAAATATGTTTAATTAAATGTCAACATTGTGGAAATAATGAACATTGTTCAAATGATTATCGGTGTCCTTCTCTTCTTGATTTTCGTCGTCAAATTGTATCTGAACTTCGTAGAAGACCTGATTGCTTACCACCTCAAGTTCAATTTTTTATTCCAGTTGACTGTTATCCGAAAGGTAATTATACTCGAAAATTGATTAATCCAACTACTGAACATCGGCAACGTAAATTTACACCTCAATTAAATATAAATTCAACAAATGTATGGCCTGAACTAGCCTGCCGACAAAGTAACACCGAACAAATATTCAATTCAACTGTGAAAGAATTAGCAGAGTTAAAACAAAAATATATCGAAGATCAACAGAATATTGAACAACATTTCCACGGACAACTTAAGAGTATTCAACATGGTTGGACAGTTATTCAAAACCAAGTATTAACTCAAAATGAAATGATCACAACGGCATGTAATATTGTTGAAGATGTATTATTTGACTCATGTCAAACCATAAACAATATGGTTGGAAATATAGTAAATGAAATTAGAAGTAAGTCTACAACAGAAGAAGAACAAAAAACATTTTTAACAATTGAAGAACATCTCAAGCTAATGACAGCAAAGTTAATCGACAAGAAACAAGTCTACAATCAATTTCAAGAACAATTGAAAGTATTAACGTATCAACAACGAAATGCTGCAACATCGATTATGAACTCATTATTTTCAAAAACGAATGTATAAAGACGACTTTAGATATTCACCAGCAACAATTGACTTGTCATTTTGTAATGGTTTTAGTGGAACATCCCAAGAAAAAAAGAAACTATATTCAATGATAGATGAGTGGAATGGTAGAGTTTCTATCTCGACGTTATGTACGAATTGGGAAAAACAGCGTCCTTTTAATTTGTTATCTGAAAATATTTTATTTCTTTTATACAATTGCGAATGTCTAAGTACCCATCAAGCTGATTTAGATATCTTAATCTCTTCATATCTTCCGCAAATAGTTATTCTAACTGGTGTCGGTTCTTTAATTAGTAATTTACCCTTGCTGCCAAACTATTATTGGTTAAGTCAGAAAGGTACGAACTCGTTTGGAGGTGTTGCAATACTAATTCATCATTCTCTTAATAGTACAATAGTTTACACAGTTGAGAATTTTCTTTTAGCTGAAATTGACATATTATCTTCTAAAATCTTGGTTGGAGCTGTATACGTTCCTCCAAACAAACAACCACCTTTTGAACATTTCTCAAGATTAAATGGAAAAAAAAATTTACTTGTTTGGCGACTTCAATGTTAAGCACTCGTTATGATCATGTGAAACAAACAATACTAGTGGAAATGCATTAAAAGAATGGATGGAACGAAATGGCTGGGAAGGTATTTTTCCAACTGTCCCTACTTCAAAACGTTCTTCTGCTATTATAGATTTTGCTCTTACGCACGATAAATCATATTTGACAGTTGAGGTAATTGATGAGGGCACACCAGATCACTTTCCGATTCTCTTTTCATCTCCTTTCACAGCAGCTGAAGATGGCTTCTTCCGTAAAACAAATTGGAAATTGTTTACATTCTTTTTATCGTTAGTTAATGAATATTGGAATGCTTGCGTTTACAATTTTGATGAACAATTTTTTTTCACTCTCTTTTCTTCTTTCCTCGCATCGCTATGGGATAGAACAAGTGAATATATAACTATACGAAAATATAGACCGCCTTGGCCAGCGTATTTGATATCCCTGGCACGCAATGTTAATAAACGTCGACGTATGTATCGTCGAACACGTTTCATGTGTCATCTGAATGTATATTTATGCGCAAAGAGAGAATATCACGAGAAAAGAGCGTGTTATTTACAAAAGAAAAGAGAAAATCACTTAATAACGATAAATCAAGGACAAAATATTTGGCGTTTCGTTCACAATACATTTCGTCCTTATACCGATACTGTACAGTATTGTTTAATAAGTGCGCATCAAAAGGGAATGTATTTGAAGCTAGTAAACATGCAAAAGTTATATGTCTATCTAAGGATGGAATGTATCCATCTGAAGATAAACTCAGGCCAATTTCTCTTCTACCTAATCTAGGGAAGTGGTTTGAACGCTGTATACATGAACAAATACAAGCATGGTGTAAAGATAAAGGGATATATACTGATGAACAATCAGGTTTCACACCAAATAGACATTTACAATCTCGCATTCTATCAATATGTGAAGACTTACGACTAACTGTAGCAGCGAATAATCGCCCCGCGTTATTAATATTTGTTGATTTTCTCTCCGCATTCGACAACATGTGGTTTCCTGCCTTGATAGCAAATTTAGTTGAATTAGATATGCCATTACCATTGATAAAATGGATTTATCAATGGCTTCAAGAAAGAACTATGAGTATACATCATGGATATTCACAATCGAAAATAGTAAAACTACATGTAGGTGCCCCGCAAGGTTCAGTTCTAGCTACAACACTGTTTAGAATTCATATTCACTTCCTTCCTAAATATTTTTTTCGTTTTTGTATGCATTTATTCGCCGATGATGTAGCGATTCTTTTAAAAGGTTCATTAGAAAAAAAGTTATCTCAAAATATAATCGAATTAGAAAAACAAGCTAAAATAGCAATGCATACCCTTTTATCCTTTTCAGAAAATCACTTACTACCTGTGAACGTGAAAAAAACAAAAGCAATGCTGGTAACTTACATAGTGCAGTATCTCCAAGTCAACCGAAAATATTTTTCTAAAATCAACGGATTGAGTTTGTACAAAATTTTAAATACTTAGGAGTAGAAATTCGTGTTAAGCTAGGATGGGGAAATTATATAAAAGCGTGTATACTTAAGATTAGAAATGTTTATAACGCTCTGAAACAACTTTTCAGGCAAATCCCCATTGAATTGATTCATATTCGTAAAAAAATATTCTATGCTTTTGTCTTACCTCACTTTATCTGGCTTTTTATGACGGGGTTTTATTTTACAGAAATCCAGCAAAATGAAATAGAACATATATATGCGTCTGGACTACGTATAGTATATAACCTTTGGGGGTGGGAAGACTATACTGTTTTCGTACTTACAAGAGAAAAATCCCTGATGAACTATCTATATAAATATTGGATAAAAATGAAAAAGCATCTACACACAGCTTCTGAGGCCCTTGATTATCAGCAATCATGGGAAGCATATATTATTGCAACATCTGAAAATCGAATATATTATAAATCTATGGGATTTAGAAAAAACAATATTTTTCCTAATCGTTTGGCAGCAAGGTTCACCGTGTAAATTTAGATATTTTTACCTTCTTCTGTATACATGAGAAACAATATGAAATATTTAAAAGATCCTCCTCAGTGTTAGAAAGATTCGTATATAAGTATTTACACCCTCCATAATATAATATCCAAATTATAATCGTAATCGTAATTGAAACTGGGATAACTATAGTTATACTTGATCTTGATTATTACTAACTATCTCCACATATCTATACTTGACATATACATTCCTTTTTTTCTTTTTCTTTTTCTTTATCATTCTCAATATTTTACACTATATGAACCTGTACATTATTTTTTTCTTTCTTTTTATTTTTTGTTGTTAATTTATATATCTCAGATGTCCAGAGGAGATGACGACAGATAAGCAAGAGAAAAGAGAAAATCGCTGTTTATCTTTATTTATATTCTCTTAACTGTATCAGTGTTTGTTAACCCTATGTGGAACAGTAAACTTTCATATTAAAAAAAAATTCGGATGCAATAGAGGAATTGGAATATATTCTAAAAACTAGAAAATCGCATATTTCATTTTCTCGTCATCATGCAGCAGTTATACTTGATGATGGAAATCAAATCAAATACAACATAAACAAATAAAATGGAGCTAAAATAGAACAATAGTTAACATAAAATAAGAACTAAAAAAATAAGGGAACATTATGTTTGATCAGTAAAATAAATGAAATGATCAGTAATTAATCTTGAAGTGATCAGTTTATTATATATAATTACCAGTAAAAAAAGATAAAATTGATCAGTAAAACATAGAAATTTGGGTGTGGGTGTGATTATTCTGCTTATCTACAGTACCCCACACCCTTTTTTGGAATTCTTACATTTATATATGTTGTACTTATCTGCTGTACGATATATAGAGACCAAAAGAACAAACATGAAAAAAATGTAAATCATTTTATAACACATTTCAATTTTTATACTGATCCTTTAATCTAATTTACTGATTTTTAAATAATATATCAATAAATCGAAGTATACTAATAACTGACCACACAAATAATGTACTGATCATTTTACTTATTCTACTGATCGCTTAAATGATAGATAAATTCATTTTTATTCAGTCTTAAATAGATTAATAAAGAATTCTATACAAATATATAGTAATATTCAGATTGTGAAAAAAAACTATTTTTTGAATCGATGTCAAAAGCAGTATTTTGTTAGATTCATAATAATTGATTTAGACAAGTTCATTTTTTCTATCTTTTAATGACAGAAAACTTGACGCTTTCAACGTCAGACAAGCAACTACATTAATTTAGCTAAAAATCTCGCCTTTCTAACCTTTGTCTGTCGATGCGTAATACAATTAGCAAAAGATGCTTCATGAAAATTTTTGTATGGAGTGTAGTCGGGAAAAAATGCACACATGGGTTTGTGTCAAATCAAATAAGTGACTAGATTGAATTCTATATATCAACAATCAATAACTGTTACAAGCAACAATAAAAAGAAATAGAATGACTATCTATACGAAAATTAGTTTCATATTTGCAATAAAACAGTGATGAGATCGAATCATGTCTCACCCTCCATCATTCAGATTTTTGTTTTGTACTAAAAACAAAAAGTACTTCGATAAAAATACATTCCAAAGACCTTTTCGAAATAATTTGTCCACCAGTACATTTACTGTACCGAAAGAACAAATAACAGCTCGTTTGTTGAATTCTTACTTCTGAAAGAGAAAATAACGTGATGATAAAAAAAGCAAACTACAGGGTATATTATATGTCTGCGGATAGAAAATTAACAAGTTCATTTTGATCGTTTAATATTAGATACGTTCTAATTTGCAAACATCAGTCTTATATAACTTTCACAAAAGAAAGAAAAATAAATAGAGTTCATCACTTGAAGCTCCGATTGAATGACTTTTTAATGTCTGCTTGGGTTAACAAGATTTAATTATTTAAGTTTGATTTTCTACAAAAATACAGAATTTAAATACACTTGAGAGAGAGAGAGAGCGATCTATTCAAAGAATTTTGCTCGATACTTTCGAAATTATTTCGCATATTAGCTATATTAAAGAGAGAGAGAGAGAGAGAGAGATCTCATTTTATTCTTACTCTTTCTCTTCTAGTTAATATTCCTGCTAATGCTAAATGGAAACAGAACGGAGCGACTATTGCTGGAGGTCACGGGAGAGGGAACGCCACTAATCAACTCAACGAACCTCATGGTCTCTTCGTTGATGATGATCAAACAGTGGTTATTGCTGAGTTCAAGAATCATCGTATCATGCAATGGAAGAACGGTGATACAACGAATGGACAAGTTGTTGCTGGCGGTAAAGACAAAGGAAAGGAATTACATCAATTGGATCTTCCAACTGATGTATTAATTGACAAAGAGACGGATACTCTCATTATTTGTGATTATGGGAATCGACGAGTTGTACAATGGTCTCGTCATAGTAGTACAACACAAGGTGAAATACTCATTGACAACATCATCTGCTGGGGATTAGCAATGGAGGAGCAGAGATATCTCTACATATCTGACATAGAAAAACATGGAGTAAGACGATATCAATTGGGTGAGAAGAATGGCACTCTTGTAGCTGGTGGTAATGGTAAAAGTGATGGACTCAATCAACTTATCGAGCCGAAATATCTTTTTGTCGATCGGCAACAAAATGTCTACATATCAGACAGAGATAATCATCGTCTGATGAAATGGACTAAAGGTGCAACAGAAGGTATTGTAGTTGCTGGAGGACAAGGCCAAGGGAGTGCTTTGACACAATTATATTGGCCTGAAGGAATCTTTGTTGATACGTTGGGCACACTCTATGTAGCAGACCGGGGGAATCATCGTTTAATGCGTTGGATTCAAGAAGACAAGAAACAAGGCACTGTAATTGTGGATGGAAATGGTCCAGGAGCAGGAGCAAATCAGTTCAGCAACCCCGTTGGTTTGTCGTTCGATCGACATGGTAATCTCTATGTCGCCGATCGTGATAATTATCGTGTTCAACGATTTTCTATCGAATAAGACTGTGAATGGTTTTTTCATTGTTCGTTTCTTTTTCTATACTTTGAAATAAATGAACAAGAAAAAGAAAGTTTCTTTTACTCTTTCGCTTCAAAGAAAAGAAAAAAGCTAAAATATAAAATTACAAAAAAAATAAACAACAATAATCAAAAATATATACTTACATTTGTGTTCGTTCGGATTGAATTTAATTTAATTGTTGAATGGAACTAAAACATAAAAAGTAACAATAAATTTTATTTTTTTTGGAATAAAATAAGTGAAAGTAATTATATTTACTTTGCAGTTGAAGAAATCGAGAAGAAACGAATTGACTGGAATAAGAAAAAGGTTTTGTTTTTTGTTTACCAGCTAATAGTTGCTCGTGCGACCAAGAGCTACCTTGGTGGTGACATAGAGAGCCAAGGCTCTTTACGTACAGGCATAGATCTAACGTGTATAGAACATACAACAGAGAGATCTATATGCGGCCTGTATGTGCTATGGGCACCAATATAGGCTTGGGCAGTTTCACGCCGATGTATAGAAGGCCTTCTCCGTAGGACGTATTAAATGTACAAAAGAATACTTACTTTGTTTTGTATTACTAAAATAGAAAATAGAAAATTAAAACTAAAATTAAAATAGACAGACAATTATTATCATATAAAAATTAAAATAATACTCTCAAAAAAAAGGGTATCATATGGAACTATTTATGATTCTAGCCAAGATACTGAACCTTTTAAGGTTTCACTCGTTTATTAATAAACCATCGAGGGTTCTAGCTGGTTTAAAGAACCATGCCAGATCCTCAATAGTTCCGGATGTTTGAAAAGGTTCCGCCCTGCACCCTTTATTTTGATGCTGAACCATTTTTCCAAAGCTGGTTTTGGCTTGCAGCAAGATATTATATTTTCGGAACGTGACTTAAGTAATATATATCTCAAATAGGTTATCGAGGTCTGAGAATCCAAATCCGTCATCAGTTTTTCGATCCGAGCTCCCTTGGGTGAGAAATTGGTTCCATCAAAAAGTCGAGGACTGTAAAATTAGAAATTTTATTGCAACTCCGATTTCAATTCTGATCGAAGTTCTAAATAGGTTATCGAGATCCAGGAATCAGAATCCGGCATCATCGATACCGAGCCAGAGGATCCGAGTCAGATTGGTGGATATGGGTAGGTGCGTCTTAATAATCAATTCTATGGTAAGCTATAACTTATAAAATGTGCTTATTCTTTTACCTATTTTCATATATCACAATTATCAATAGAGAGTAATGTCAATCTGGTAAAAAGAAGTCAATAAGTTCTTTATTTACGTACGTAGCAATAATCAATTGAAATGTAAATTCAATATGATAAAATGAATTAATGTTTTTTTTTCTATTTAGGTATATGTGAATAATTGATCTCATGGTTAGTTTAATCTTGCACTATCAGTCGCTCCTCTTGTCTGTTGTTTAGGATCGTCTCAACAACCAGTAACGACGATTCCCTGTCGTGCGAATAAACGAGAAAGGGCTGGCTCGTATTCTGCTCACAACAAATCCAGGTAAATATAACACATACGATTTAGTGGTTTAGCATAGAAATGAGGGTTAAGAATATGATTAAGGGTTAACGTTAGAGGGTAGGTTAAGGATAGAAATTAGGCTTACGGATAGAGGTAAGGGTTAAGATTAGGAATAAGGGATTAGGTATGAAATTAACGGTTGGATACAACATTAGTCTAGAGTTCTAGACTAATTGAGTGTGGTGGACTACATTTTACTACTATAGAATCATTTTTGGAAGAAATATGAAAAAGTTTCAGCTACAACCAGATTTTGCTTGAACTTTAAATGGTTGTGAAAATGGTACCCAAATCTAGAACCCTAAAAGGTTCAATATGACACCTTTTTTCTTTCTGAGCATGCTAAGAAGCTACAAGAGAAAACTTTAAAAAGCAAATTTGTCTAATGGGATAAGTCATTATTTTCGACAAAGAAAAAACAAGCGATAGCGATAAGGAGCAGATACTGATCTTCACATATCTTCAAACATCCACCAAGACCCATAGGAATCCACTAGGATCTACAGAATCCACCAGAATCCAAGGAGCCAGGAGCCGCTTTTCCCCCTTGGTCCGGCTTGGAAACGGCCGGTTCCGGATAGTTCCGTTGATTTTGTGGAAGCAATATTCCGGTGATTTCCGATAAACTCCTGCCGGAAAAGCCCGACTCTATTTTTGACCGGAATACTGCTTCCATGTTCCAGCTATTTCCCGCGTATTCCATGGAGTACCCTACGGGATCCGGTGGCCGGAATGTTCGACCTGGGAAGTAACCCAATCTTGGCAGGCCTATTAAACGAAAAGTAATCTTTGAAACTAACGATTATTTATCAAGCTGAACCAGAGATGTTGTGTGGTTAGGGGTGTTTCTCTTGGCCTGACCTAATTTTATATTAAACTTTATAGTTGATATTGAGCAGCTGTTTTCTGCGCGATAACTGACTTTGTAGACCAAGACTTAATGAAAAAATAGCAGTCTCTTTCTTGAAAATTGAGTTTAATGGATTATTGTAACGATTTTTAGGTAAAAGTGGGGTGTGGGTATGGATGTTTGCTCACACCCTCACATTTTATTTATTATTAATTTCAAAAGAAACAACTGTCCTATTGTTCAAGAAAGGAGAATTTATCTGGCTGAATTAATATAATAGGTGATAATTTCGTAAGAAAATATGTTAGAATAAATCCAGAAATAAAAAGTAAAATACCACATATAAGTGTAATAATATCTTTTCTACTATTATCAATCATATAGACAAGTAATTCAGGTTCATCATAATTCGATATAAATAAAATTCTATCGTCAATAGATTTATCTGTTATTGGTATTAAATTAATTGAATCTACTGAACCATATAAACATGTTTCTGTTGATTTTTGATAGATTTTAAAATTAGTAACATCGTCGATTTCGTCACATTGAGGTCTACTTATATTTGTATTTCGCATGGCGATCCAATTCAATAAAATATCATGAATGTACGATGATGCATAGAAAAAATGATTATTTATATATTTTTTCACATCAGATTGATGTAAAATAGGTTGTAGAAATGAAAACGATTCTTTCATATTATTCAAAGCTTCTTCAAAGTGAAATAACTTTGCTTCAGTTATTACATTCGAACAATTCGACTGAAGAAAACAATCAAATAATGCTTGTATTCGATCATTTAAAGCATCTTTAATTTCTATAGATAAATTATTTAAACATTCCGGTAAATTAAAATAACTACAGATCGTTTTCAATAATGAATACATATGATTTTCTAAAGATGTATAATTGTTTACATGAATTAAAGTATCTTGATAACTATTAAAGAATGGATTCATATATTCATAGGCATCAGTAAATATTGCTAATGTACTAATATTTAATAAATGAAAATCATTCAAAGAACGAACGAGTCGATTTGATATTGGTTCTAAAGTTACGGTGTTCGAAGAAACTTCTCTAAAAATAAAAACTTGTTATTTTAACAATTCCAACATTAAGATGATTTGTAGAATTTTACAAATGCTTACTTGTATTTTTCAAGAAATGGATGAATATTATCATATAAAATAAATGTACTATTTTGCGTAATACCTAATTGATCAATATTAACTATAATATCAATATGTTCAGGTTCGATAGGATGTAAATTATTGTGATTAGTTGATTTTTGTATTCTATAAGGAAATCGTTTTTCTAGAATCATTTGACTTAATTCATATGTTCCATAATAGTTCCAATTTTGTCCATTCATAAACAAAATAACAAGATCTTTATTGTTATCATCGGCGATTAATAGTTGACTTAAATTGATACGACCTAACAACCAAGCTAAACCAAGTAATGTAACAACGCCGAAAGCTGTCGATTGAGCACCTGCATCTGAACGATAAGGAAATATACTAGAATGAAATCATTGAAAGAAATTTTTTTACTTTTTGGTTGAAAGACAGAATAGAAATCAAATTTAGTATACAATACAATAACAGATTTTGCAGGACGAGTCTTTTTTCCTGATATTGTATTGAATATACTCCAAACAATATTTATCATTGGGCTTCGACATTTAATTGAATAATGTTTAAAATAAGCTTCAGCTAAATTAAAAATAGAATTCACATTTTTAAAGAGTCTCTAGTAAAAATTTACCAAAATAATTTGATTTTGATCGGCGACTACAAACTTGAGCATTTTTAGCACCATATGCATATGATTTCATACTATGGAAAAAGTTCTCGTTGGTTTTTTTTTAATATTTAGAAAACAATCACTGACTGTACATTGATATGCCTTCCTTTGAATACGTGTTTGTGATTATAGATACGACTAAGTTTTCTAAACTCATCTACCATAGTTTGATTGGTTAATAAAAAAATTGGTTTATCAATAAATGTTCCTCGAAAATCAATGCCATGTGTATTTTTTCTAATCGAACAATTCGATGATATTGACTCACCAATGAAATCTTCCGGACAAGTACTCACTTCAGTAAAGTGACCATCTGTTGTTTTATTCGTATTTTCTCCATCAATAAGTATGCCAACAATCATTGGAGAATGAAATATAGCAAAATCAAGTATATCTTTTCGAGGAGGTATCAGAACAATAATAGAATACGAATAGTTAAATGACGTTAGATTATGTAATGAAGTTACATCAATTAATCGACCACGATTACCTGATCGATGAGATGAGCAACCTGTTATAGAATTCTTTGTTAAATAGCGCATACAAAAATTGAATGATGATGTCATATACATATTCAATTGGATTGAACGAAGTTTTATTGTTAAACATGAAGAAATGAATAGAAGACAGACAATCCACACGACATTAATTATCATTGCTGAGTGAGAGAGATAGAGAGAGAAAAACAATGCTGCAAGGCGCCAATTGTTGTACAGATTGATAACGAAATGAAAGAGAAATTAAATCGCCGGGATAGCTCAGTTGGGAGAGCGTCAGACTGAAGATCTGAAGGTCCCTGGTTCGATCCCGGGTCACGGCACATTTCTTTTTTTTTGTTGTTTCGTGTAGTTACGAAGTAATTTCGTTTTATTTTCGTATTTTATTTTTTGTCAATATTTTGATGACAAAAATTTTCAACAATGGTATGATGATGCTAAACTGTCGTTTATCGGAAGTATCACTTGGTTGTTCGATAACGATTGAATATGAAAAAATTGAATGGCAAGAAGGTTTTCAATGTAGTATTCGGTTTCATGGACAACATTGTCTTTCGCCAATTTTTCCCATTGAAATGACACGCGATGGTCGAATGCAAATGAATTTTGTATATAAAGATGTTGGAGAAGTTAATAAGTTTTACTTTTCATTATTAACACTTAATAAAGTTTAATCGCGATAGATTATGGCTATTGAAATCGAATTATTATCAAATAAAGAAATAGGATTATATATTAAATGGATTGAAATTAATATTCCAAGAAAATCATTTCTACAAAGGTTAGCGCTAGAAAATATTCGTATGTGAAATGTATTTTGCGAACCGATGTTTTATTAGATTTGATGTACAACGTTGGCTTCATTTGAATATGATTGATGGACGTACACGACTAATGTTAGCACCAAATCAACTGCCTGGTTATGCACCGAAGAGTAGAGAAAATTTTTCATCGTTTTTTTTGTTCAGTTGATTTCTCAGTATCTATAGGAATGCTTGAAAATATTGAACAACCAAAACGAGGTAACAGTTGTCCTCGCTCATGGATGAGAAAATCTTTTCTTCACTACTAGACAATGTTAAATATATGGTACTTATTGAAATTTCACAAACTAAAGGCAATATTGATGGATCAACAGTATCTATCGGTCTAGTCGGAAGTAAGAAATTGTAGTTGAGAATATAAAAAAAGTGGTTCTTTTGCTCTATTTATAGAATATGGCCGAGCATCGGCAAATCGAATAAATATGAAATATAATACTACTATACCCCTAAAAATTTATCCGCGTCGAAATATCTTCGAATTAACTATGCTTGATGTTGGTTTATTGCATGAGTATCAAATCAGCTTCGAAAATAATCATAATAACGGTTCGTTGTTCATTACAACTATGTATATCTATCGTAAACAATATTATGAGTAAGTAAATATATCTGTTTGAATTGGTTGAGTATGTTAAATTCAGAGTAAACATTCAACAATGGATTGCAAATGGCCAAATATTAAATGGTTATACTCGATCGTTAGATCTACCAACAGCATCAACATTGTTCAATGAAGTTCAATCAAGTAAATAAAAATTTTATTAAAAAGAAATTCTTCAAATTTATTCGTTCAAAAGAATCATCATTTATTCTATGGATAACTGGTTCTGATTTAATTAAAAACGAAATAACATTACCAATAGAATTTCAATTAAATTACCAAAATACTATGATAAATCCTGTTCAAGAAACAATTACTATTCGAGCTAATATTCCATCAGTTTTAGCTCTGTCTACAGCTTGTACAATGCCAGTACGAAAAAATTAACTGTCTCGTTTCTTTTTCATGAAAATTTTCTTAGTTAAAATCAATCTTACTTGGATATAATCGAACATCAATCGATTATTGTTTAGCAAGTGAAATAGTCGTTCTTAATGTTTTTCAAGGTCAACATTTTTAGTGCGTTTTTATTTTCAATTATTTTAATTATTAAAAATTTTGCTCTTCAAAGTTTTCAATATGATAATGAAGTGCCAAATTCAATGAAGGACATAGATTATTATTCTTTTGTACTAAAAGAAAATGTTCTCACATCAATATTGCATAACTGTGTGTATAGGCTGTAGACGTCGATAAAACAATTTGATATCTGTCGGTTTCAGCTAAACAATACATCATTTCAATGTTAACATCAGAAAATAATCAATCGGAAAAACACACAATAAAAATTGTGCTTCGCGGCGAACGAGGTCTCACAGCTATGCTTTCGTTGCATAATTCATCGTGGAATAAAATACCATTTCGAGCAAAACATAAAGATAAATTTCTGTTGCTCGCATCTGATATTGGACAAGTAATAGCAGAGAAATTATCTGAAATAGATGTTAAAATAAATATCGTTTTACGTACTAGATAATAGGGTTAACAATATTTCATGCAAGTGAAGACGGAAAATTCAATTTTGATATTATTGAAATATTTGTACCAGATACAAAATCGTGTATTCGGTGAGTGTTTGATGAAATTTCAAAATGCTCTCATAGACGGTTTTTCTTTTTGATTTTTAAGATTAAATGGAAAATATCAAATATTCAATGAGATTATTGATTTTAATTGTCGTAAATAGAATTCTTGAAGGTTTCTAATCTATCAATGTTTATTTTTCTTTTGTTTGACAAGAAGAATCGCATAGTGTTTATCTCGTTCAAATTAAATCAGGTTTTAGTACATTAAATGAAACAGCCAGCGTCGTTTTAACACTTTTTGGCGAAGAATCATCTGTTGACTGGATTTTATTAACCTGTGATAATGATACTCAACCATTTCGTACTGGACAACTTGATACATTTTATATTCCAACAAAGAGATTGGGCAAAGTAAAATTTTGTTTTCTAAAGTATTGTATTTAAAATAATATTCATAGATTCGTGCTGTGAATATTAACTGTTCAAATATTGATGCGAATTCGAAATGGTTTTGTGAAATGATCTATGTTCATGATACAGTTTTTAATATAAAATCTAAGTTAATATTCCCATGAGAAAAAAAAACTATAAACTCCCTACTTTTGCAGTTATGTAATTAATCGTTGGTTTGGTGATCATCACGAATCAGATTTTGTCGATACATTAAATACCACAAGTAAAGCAGCACTGATTCAACCAGCTTCAACAAGATTACTGACGACTTTTCTTATGCTAATAAAAAATGGTCTTCGAACAAACACAAATCCAATGCTCATACCTTCGCTATATGTTTTCTTCGCTGGTCAATATGGAACTTCACCTGTTATTCATTTAAATGAGCTTACTGATCGAAATGACATATTTCAATCGTTAGAAACCGATGAATTTACTTTTACAATACCTGATACTGGCATGGTAAGCAGAATAGACATTTTTGTTCTTAACAAGAAAATGTTATACGTTTAGCCTGATATCATGCGCATTTGGAATACAGATGATCTTGCTCCGTGGACATGTGAATATATAGATATTAAAAATATAACTAATTCTAAAACAGCTCAGTAAATAAATCGCTTAAAAATTTACATCCATAAAAATGATTCGTTTTCAGCTTTCCAATGGGCGTTGATTTACCAAAAGTTGATTCGTTTTTTTCGTCGTATATTGATCTTGAAGTTGATATTGGACGAGTAATACTTCCATTACCAGGACCACGTAATGACGCTGCATATCCATCATATCAACTAATGATTCGAACTAATCAAGCTATAGATGCTAACGATAGTGTTGTTACTATACAAATAAAAAGTGATAAACACCAATCAAAATTGATCCCATTAATTGGTCTATTTAAAAATGAAACAACTTCTAAACTCTATCTCTATGGTATTTGTCCACTAGGAGAAGTAAATTTGATAGATAGAATAAATAGAATGATTGTAAATATATTTATTAGTTAAAAGAAATTTCAATCTATTTTGATGGAAATCATAAAAATGCACAATGGATATGTGAATATGTGATGATTTATGATTATTTAAATCATCAGTATTATGGAGCAAAAATAAATACGAGTGTAACGTCCCGTAAATACAAATTAGGCATAATAAAAAATATGGATCCTAATTATCTGAGTAGTACAGATTTTCTTTTATATATACTGGGTTTACTTTTGTCTTGTTTCTAGACGAAGAACTTGATCGCATAGATACGGCATTCATCGATAAAAATGTTCAAGAATCAGGCATTAGATTTTTTCATTTTAAATAATCGAACTTGAGAATCGCTCTTGGTTCGAAGACGAAAACGATTCTTATTTTATTCTCTAGATCCAATCTATAGAATATTATATAAAACTCAAGCAAATGTACAAACAAATATAACAAGAGATGCAGAAATTTCAATTCGATTGATTGGTGATGAATCGACATCGTTTTTTCGTCTTGAGCATACTCGTCCGCTCATATCTGGATCTATCGAAGAGTCGTTCTATCAAGAAAATGAATCGATTACTGGAGTAAAAATTTTAGAATTCAAAATAATACATATTTTTCTTTTGAGACAGTTAAATAAACTAGAAATTCAATTGTTTGATAATGCAAATACACATTGGGCTTGTGAATCTATTGAAATTCAAAATTTATTAACAGATGAAATTGTTGTGTAAGACTAATAATTTAATAGCCTGCCTCGTACTTTTGTTGTTTTTATTATAATAGATTTCCAATAAATGATATTCTAGAAGCAACAATAAAAACAGATGTAACCAATCAAAAGATCACAACATGGAAATCAGGTTTTAAATCTGGTATTATTTATATTATGCGAGTTCGAACAGGATATCAAGGTGCTTCATTAAATTTTCGTTTTGGTTCTGTATATTTATCATTGAAACTATATGGTGATTCTGGTGTGTCTAATGAAATACCATTACGTATTCCTTTTGAACAATTATATTATCTTAAATGTAATCAAACCGATACATTTGAAATCGGACAAATCACATCTGTTGTTGGTCAAATAAGTTCAATTGATATATATCATAATGGCAAACGAGAAGATTTTTGGCATATCAATTGGATCGATATAATTGATATAACAACAAATAAATCCTACCAGTAAAAATATTGATAGTTCGAAATATGTCGAAAATATTCTTTGTTTTAGTTTTACAATTGAAAAATATCTGAACAAAGATTTAGGAACAAATTTTAAAGTTCTACACATTCCAGCGGATGTATCTATATCTGCAACTGCAGGTTTTAGTCCACGCTCTATATTGACTTATTTTTCATGATTCGATTTTGATAACGAATTTAATTCATTGTAGATGAGCTTGAATCGATACCTAACTATGCAATACGTGTTAAAACTGGCACACAAACACCGGCACATATTGATGATACTGATGAATTGTCGACTGTCTCTATTGTGTTAATTGATCCTATAAATGATTCTGCTCGTACACCATTAAAACGAATCAATAGCACTGCACGATCAATTTTTCAGCCTGGTCAAGAAGATAGATTTGATATTACGATGACGCCAATGTTAGAGGTATGCGAAAGCCCATTATTCCACTAATTTATAACTATGTACAAAAACAATTCATGTGTACAGTTAAAAGTATTACAAATATATTTTAATGGCACATTTCCTTGGTTTTGTGCACGCATAACTATAACCGATCGAATCAGTGGCTTATCCTATCGGTAAATATATCGTTTTTTGATTCTATTTATTTTATTTTTAGAATATAATTAGATTTGATGTTGAACAATGGTTAACAGAAAATGCACTGGATAACCCAGTGAACGTTTTTGGTCAACGAGAAGATGATCTGGGTATGGTAGCTGCATTGTCGGGTTTTCATTAAAAAAAAAGAATCGAGTTCGCATAGTTGTCTCTTGCCCTTTTTTCGAATGAAAGACACACAGCTTATGATTAGAACTGTTATGCTATATTCTATAGGTTGGATGTATTCTGTCACGATTAAAACTCAAGCTGTTCTACCAGCTAAAACAAATTTACGTGGAAAGATTCTCCTATCAATCTATGGCGAACAAGGTTCATTAGATGATGCTATTCTTGGTTCTGGTCGATTAATGCACGGATTATTTCATGCTGGAGGAGAAGATATGATTGAACTTAAAAGCAACAAACGACTTGGAGAAGTAAGGAAGATTTTGTTAATTTCAATTGATTTAATAAATCTGAAATAGATTAATTCAATTGAAGTACGTCTTGAAGTAGCTGAATGGCAATCATGGTTATGTGATACGATTGAAATTGTTGATTCAACTGCTAATTGGGATTTTTTATCACGTACCATGATAACAAAAACTTACAAGTAAATATCTAGATTGAAGTTTTGCTTCTTTCGTAGTCGAAGTGTCACACTTGCCGTTCGTATTGTGATTTTGACAGTTGTTCGGTACATTTCATCAGACACTGTGTGACCATTTTCTAGATCTTAAATTTAACGTTGATTTTTCTCCCAAGGTCATACCTAGATATTGTTCATGGACACATTTATAGTAATATTTATTTTTAAAAATCACTTCTGGGTCAAGTCAAGGTTAAGTCGACTGCTTAACTGTATACAATAGTTATTGTTTGTCAATGTCGATTCAATTAATTGTACTTATTTATATAGCCATAATAGAAATAGACATTGATTTGCAAGCTGAATGTTTACGAGGCAATCATCTTGATTATGACGCCTATTAGATGAAATAGTCATAAGAGAGAAAAAAAGCGTTTACTCGTAGATGTTGAGACAACTAATCAATGATGATCCTTCGTCAAAGAAACCTATAGATCATATTAAGAATGCAAACAAATGCAGGGAAGTCGACGAAAGTTATGTTTATACCAATAGAGAAGAAGCGATAACTTTCAATAAGCACTTCTGAACTTAGTAATTAGCGTACTTAATTGACTTTATCATTACTTTTTGAAAACCCGTTAAAATTTATGTAAAGTAACATCGATCGAAAAAACTCTCACCGCCAACAATTCAATGTCAATATATTACAAAATAATAAAAGCATGCTGCTATTCTGTCCTGAGTGCTCCTCTTAATCGAACGTTATTGATTAATAATTTTTGAATAAAATCTCCTTTTTTTACAAGACTGAATTACTAAATGCTTCATAAGATTACGTCATTCTCCTTTTTCAAACATATTTTCTTTCAATTTTACATAAGTCTTGTTCCATTATCTATTAGAAATATTATACGAGAGTGTCCTCTATCAACCACATCCAATTATAGTTGGAAAACGCTAAAATTACATTTTAGTATTTTATATCACTATTTCTTTTTGTTTTGTTAATAAAAGATTTCCAATAAATCGTTGGCTTGGTGCACATGCAATGGATAAAAGAAATAGTATTCGTACATTGATAAATCAAGAACCTGGCTATGCTAAAATGCCTTCATATATAATTCATATATTAACTGGTACTAAAAATATTAGTAACGATTCCGATATTCCGACTAATGTTTACCTACAATTATTTTGCTCTATTTCAAACAATGTCTACGGACCTATTCTACTGGATAAATCATCGAATAATACCCAAGCATTTCGTAAAGGTCAGATCGATGAATTCTACATCAATGATTTATCTTATTGCGGTGAAATAAACAAAATTCGTCTATGGCATGATGGTGGTAAAGTCACGTCATGGCATTGCGAATGGTAAAAAGAATATGTTATCTTAGAAACAACTTCTTGTTTTGTCTATTTCATAACCTACGTAGGATCAAAATAACCAATGTAGAAAAAAATGAACTATATGAATTTTCCGTTGAAAAAATTCTAGACGAAGATCTTGAAGAAGGTTCAAGTAATTTAATTTTATATAGTAAAAAAAAAGACGAAATGAATGAAAGTGAACTTGCTACGCCAAGATCGATAATTTCGTAATAACTAGCAAGTATATTGTGAAGTATGCATGTGCAATCAATCATATTGTAGAAAGAAAGAAGTCCATCTGAATGATATATATATATATATACATATTCTTGTATGTTGCATCATCAATAGAGAAATCATCGAAGGTGACAAACTATTCCTTCCTTTCTTTTTCAGGTTTTTTTTTTACAAACCAGGGTGTAGCTCAAATGTCAATTTATAGGAGAGAAAGAATACACGCTTTAACACACATAGAACATACGTATTTACGTAAATTGATTGTCAATGTGACGTGACCATTCACCATGGACCGTTGGACTTATTAGTATGAAGAAGACGAAGAAGAAAAAAGAAGAAGAAACTAATTGTACAAATGAGGCGTTGATAGAAAATCATTGTTAATTTAACATGATGTGTTCGCTTTCTTCTTTGTTTCTTTTTTTTTCTCTTTTTTTCCGAGCCAGATGATGTGAGGTATTGTGCAATGCCTCTTGTCGGATTAGATCTGATAGATAGATGATGTGCGGATGTATGCATTTATATATATATATATATATGCATATATAAATGGTTATTTAGATGTTAGTGTTCGTTCATCCGGAAGATAGAGCATTACTATTATTATTATATAGCTATTTGGACTGATGAACTTGTATTATTATTATTATTATTGTTCACCCTTTTCTTCTTTTGTTCTTCAACTTTGACATGCAGTACAAAAGAATTAAATAGAACCTTCTCACCCTAGTATACGAAGAGTAACATTAGCCAACAAGACAGGAAAAAAAAGAGAATTACTGCCCATCATTTCAAATGATGCGGTCGCACTACTTACTCTACCTCTAATATTTTGAATTCTGTGAGTTACATCATCATCATCATCATGTTGTTTTGTCGATAAGAAAAGACATGGCGAAGCACTTGAGAGTCGCGCGAAATATGCCAGGAATTAGAGAGAGAGAAACACACAGAGATAGAGCAGAAGACGAAGAAAAAAAATTTGTTTTATCACACACAGGTATAATTTTTTCAAACGTTTGTATGTTTGTCTATATTGTCAGACATCCTGTCAAGTGATGAAGTGTTCTTGGCTTTCAATCATAGTTGACCATACTTACAATTGCTCTATTTATCTCTCGTCTTCGTCATCGTTTGCGTATATTGTACCAGTTGTAAGCAATTAATCTCTCGCTCTCGCTTCGTTCTGGTGTATGTATATATTCTCTTGATTATACTATCGTCAATGTCACTAAAGCATACTATATACATATGATTCCGGTCAATTTGAATGAAGAAGTATCTATGAAGAAAAAGGTAAGTGCTATCAATTGTTTCGCTTGCTATTGCCTATAATATACTCTGATGAGAACACATCATTCTGTTGTTTTTTTTTCGTAGCACCCCTCCGAGATTTAGAACACTAATAGTATGTTGTCTGCACAAATTATTAATTCAAAGAACGATGTTCTCTCTTCTTTTGATGCATATTCACATCGATTTATATGCATAAGTGGATACTTGAACATGCGTCTCCGAAATCATGCATACACACACATACGTAGAATAAGAATATAGTTCTCTACGATGATGTTAGACTTCCACTTGAACATCGATTAAAAACTAGTATTAAGTAAATTATTGGTTAGAAGAAGATGAGATGATGCAAATTATCTAGTACTTGACTGCGACAGAAAAGACGGACATAGAATGAACAAGAATTAAAAAAAGGAGAGAGAGAGAGAAAATGGACTGATAATGATAGAGAAAACTGGCCGCTGCTGCTAGGCAATAGCATCCATAAATCTGCAGACAATTCATTTGTCTTCATCTGGTCTCTCTTTCTCTCTATTACTACCTTGTTGATTTACTTAATAACAGAGGAGAGAGAGAGAGAGAGAGTAAAGTAATAAGTCACGTCTCCGATTGATCGATGCACATAGAAGCCATAGATTCTTCATTTACAAAATGATGCGAGATCATCAGACAACGGGGTGGGTATATTGAACATGATTATTGACCAGCGCACTTTTAAGTAATAATTGGCATCTTTTTCTTTTATTATGTACTACGTGCCTATTCGTAAGGTATTTATATAGAATCTCATCTAATTAATGTTATATATATATATATATATACATATATAAAACTTAAGCATATCAGAATGAAGGAGAGAGAGAGAAAGAGAGCGAACGAGAGAAAACAAGCACTTGAGTAAAATATGATGAACGGCGGCATGCTATTTGTATGATGATGAATTTCGACAAGTAAAATACTTGTTCTACTCAATAGACGCATATTCGCGTTGTTAACATAAATTCTTTGATTAAACAAATACAACACTTACCTTCTTTTTTTGTTTTCTATCTTGATTCGTAGTGGATGGAGCATTGTTAATGAAGATTATTTTGTATAATCCAGATGAAGAAGTATGAACCTTGATGGTCAACGAACAATTCGAATCCTTGTGATCTCGTTATTGATATTTTTTTTAATAATCACATTTATCGTTCCCTGTCATGGCTGGCATAAAACATTAACATTTGTTCAGCAATCATCCTATGAATTCAGTACGATTAAATACATTAGTAATCGTTCCTATTTTCATAACTATCAATTCTAGGTCCCGATAGTGAAAATTATCAAATTATATCTAACATGAAATTTTTCACGTGGTACAATACATATGCTATATATGGTACACGTGATACACTTATTTTATTAAAACCTGATTCAAATAATTCTACCGTATGTGAATTTAACCTTTAAAAAAAACTTTTCTTTAAAAAGTAATTAATTAGGTTGAAATTTATTCGTACGATTGGCCTGTTGATCAAATGACCATGGATGAATGTCTCCAGGAATGGAATACAAAAGTAGATATATTTTTAGTAATTAATCCAATGTTTTTTTTCTTCTCCAAAGGATAAATGCTACAACGATGTTGTTCATGTTCGAATTGTGTCTAATCATACGAAAATGAATGTTTATTGCACGTATGCACATCGTCCAATGGTACGGTCATTTGATTTACATTCAATGTCATTTATCAATGAACATATTCTTACACGTGATCCACATCCTCCAATGGATTCTGAAGGTTCCTATGTTATGTTAAATTTTAATACAAATATTATTACAGCTGGTTATCAAGGTGATTATATACCAACAATACGAGCTACTCATGGAAAAACATTACTTTATGCATTAAGACAAAGTAAAATAATGAATGAATGCGTTCGTTTATTTACATAACATATGGTTTTATTTAGATTCGTATTTTATTGGTGGATTTAAATATGATGGAAAAGCAGTATTTGGTGTTATTGAAACATCTGAACGAACTGAAACAGTAAGACATAAAAAAGCCCTAAATCAATGTTGATTATGATCTCTGGAAATAATTTTTTTCATGACGTATGTTTCCAATAAGATGAGGGTACTATTCTATGGAAGAAAAAAGGATGAAGATGGATAATAGCTGTTTTCTTTTTGTGTTGGAATCAAGTCACACGCAACGAACTCGTGCTCGTATTTTGTGACCGCTCTCGGAGTACTGTTAAAAACCGCCTCGAGCTTGATTCTTCGACAAGTGATTGAACGATTGAATATCGCATAAAAACAGATTTATGCTTTTTCGAGACTTTTTATTGAGATATGTTAAAATTTTTGTTTATTTCTTAAGAATCGTGTGTCTCGATTAGTAATGGCTTGTGCTCATCGAACTGAAATTGTACGTAAAGCTATTCTCAATTGTTCAACTGATATGTTTGATCAATCGCGTGCATTTGTCTTTCATATTTTAAGTAAGAAATTAAATTTAGAAAAATAACCGAAACTTTTATCAATTAATTTTGTTTTTAATTTTTGTAGCTGGCCTAGTCGACCCAATTCATATGTCCGATGGTTCAACATTACTTTTTGCAACATTTACAACCAATAAGTAAAGAATTTATTTTGTTTTTTATTAAAACTTTTCTTTTGAAACTTTCATTCTAGTTCAACGATTACAGCTTCAGCTGTATGTTTATTTGTACTTGATAAACAATTCTATGATGTATTTACGGCGCCATCGAAGAAAATGAATAGAAGAACATTAATAACCAATAATGAATTAAATGATTTAATTATAAATTGTAGTCAAACAATTTCATCGACCATTGATCGCGATATGGTGGAATCAGAAAAACAATTTCTATCCTATTTATCTAATCCGTTATTGATAGAAACCATGTCTCAACATACGTTTTCAGCTATTAATGTCATACAATATGACATCGATCGTTATTGTTTAATTATTGGCACAAGTAAAATAATTATTTTCAAGATTAAAATCTTTTTTGAGTTAGTTCTCGACATATAAAAAATTGAGAGATCGTTGAACCGTATCACAGACTGCAATTCAATGACACTTTGTCATTTCATTTCTCAAGGATTTAGTAAACCGGTGATGAATTACATATTTTTTTTTTGTTCTCATTGAGGTGATGGCCGTTTATTAACAACATTTTCTGATAGAACATTTAAAACCGATGTATTCGAAGAATTAACATTACCCATACACATGCGATATTCAATAAAATCAATCGCTTATCAAAAAACGTATGGAAAATTATTGCTGTTTAATTCTTATATTCATTTTTTCCTTTTTTCAGTGATAACAATTCTTATGTGGTTATTGTAACCAATCTTGTCGGATACTTAGCCGTTAAATTAATTCCATGCAATGAAAAACTTTGTTTTGTATGTTGGACAAAAGATTGTACAATACGAAAAAAATTCTCAGTAGAGTAAGTCTTGATTTTGTCAAATGAAAATCTTTATTTTTATCTTTTGTATTTATATTTAGTAGAATCGTTACACCTGATTGCTCATCGAATGATCGTATTCGTACAATAACAATTAATGATACAGAAGAAGATATTAACAATCGTTCTTTAGCAAACATTTTCTCATCAGCAAGCACAATGGCAGGTAAAAATTCGTAGAAATTTTATTGGATGCAAAATTCGGAATATCATTTTGTTTTTAAATTTTTGTCTTCAATGTAGATGAACAGTCAAATAATAAACTTCTATTATTTTACATAATTACGCCAATGTCATTAGTTGTATTTATTCTCTCAATGTCAATTATTCTTCTTCTAACACGATCGAATCATCAACGAAAAAAGATTCATAATAAAAATCATCTTAAAACAAAGCATCTATCATCTATTCCCATGTCCGATTCGAACCCATATACAGACGATATATTATATGAAACGAACAAGAAAAAATTAATTGTTGATAAACCTCGTCTTTTCCCTATTAAGTCTGATACATCGATTCCTTGTCCACTTTATTCAGTATCATCTTCATATAGTTTACCTTCATTAATACTCTCCGCACCATCACCGCCACCCCCTGCTATCCCTCCAGCAACTCCACAGTATTTTTCAGTTCATCGTTTATATAAAAGTTATGTTTGATTTTCGTCTGGCTTTGTGTTTTTTGACATTCTCGTTTGGACTTACATTTGTATTTTTTTATTTGATTTAAAAAACAAAAACAAAATCAAAATATTATTCTTATTCTCTCTATGTAAAATACGAATATTGATGAATGATCGAGTAAACGTTTTGCTATTATTAAACAATGACATGTTGGTAAAATTTACTTGGAAATTTTTATATAAATTTGACAAACAGCTGCTTTCATTAAGAAACTATGAATAGAATATGTATCTTCTTTTCGTACTTGCTCTCTGTGAGAGCAAAAGAATGTGTTTACATTTTCGTTTCATATATATGTAGGTCAAATGTCGTGCCCTTTTAATGGATAGCCATCTGATTTGTTATTTTCCTGTGTTGTCACACATACTGTCTCGTGTCTATTCATTGGTTCTATGATAGTATTCATTCTTTGTTTAAAACGAAATGAATCGATCTAGCGCGGTTCTTCTTCATACATCAATTATCATTAATGAAATACAAATAAAAAAGTGCCTTTCTTTACCGTGAAGAAATGTCCAATCGGTCTGCCGATGAGGATTTTACTAAAATAAAGCTAACGATTGGCTGCAGCTTCTACTGTAGAGTTCGATGGGTCGACCCACGTGGCACTCAGACTTGATCATTTTTATTGAAGTTCTTGTTTTTTTTTATTTATTTCATATAGATAAGTGTCAGCGGTGTTGATAAAATCCATAAAAGACTTTAAAGTCTGAAGAAAATGTTTAAGAGAACATCGAGATCACTTTAGCAAGAGACACAGACACTCACCCACCAAAGAATAAATAACATAAGAAAGAAAACAGAAAAAGAAATGTTTGAAAATCAAAATCCTAAGTGTTAAGAAGCCAAAACATCACACACACACACTCATACAACAATATCAGATGAACTAGAAAATCGAAAGTTTTCTAGTTCTATATGATATGTTTCACAAAACAAACTGAAACTCACATGCACCATACTGCCTGTACATTAGTAATACAAACGAATGCGCAAAGTGAGTTAAAAAACAACACACGCACACATTTTAATGCAAAACAAAAAAAAACAAAAAAAGTTTTTTTTCTCCGATATAAATATATACATTTAACTGGAAAAGTTCATCAAAAATTGTTGTTGTTAATCGTACGATAAGAATTTTGTTCTGGATGAGTACCATAGAAATGGCTGGATTCATTAGAACTCGTAGTTAAACGTATATTATTATCATCGTCGGAATCATCATCACGCATTATATTTGGATTTGTCACACGCATACATGTAGCGCAATGACATTTTTTTAATACGGGACAAAATATCGCACCAGTTTCATCATACATTGCATGAGCTATTTAAAGAAGAATAGGTAAATATTAGAAATTTTAAAAAACTCTTACATGTATAAAGACATTCAGGCATATTGTGACTTTTACAATGGCCACATATTGTTTTTGGATGAACAAATTGCTGATGTTGCGGTTGTTGAGGAAGAATTGTTTGAGGTTTTAATTGTAGCATACTGTTGTATTGTTCATTCATAATTGATGAAAAATAACTTGGTGGACTTTCATCGGGTGATGATAGAACACCACTATTATGAATTGATAACCATGGAAAATTTGTTAATGGTGACGAAAAATCGTTTAGTTTTCGACGAAATTCAGTTGGGCCATTACTTTAATTAAAGAGAGACACAGAGAGAATAGAAGAACATCTAAATTTTCTTTCGAAATAATTTACTTACTGAAAATAAGTAAATGGTTCGACCATTGTTTCAGCATCGAATTCATAATTAAGTGGGTCGAATGCTGTTTCACGTGAATGAATATTCGAATTTTCCATAAGAAAAGATGAATTTGCCGTAATAAGATTTTTACTATTAGCAGATGAATAACGATGCATTGTATGTATGAATAAGTTTAAGAGTAAATACAGAGAGAGAGAGAGAGAAATAATGTATAGATAGTAAACTATCTGTTGCGTAAAAATGTTAAAAATTACAAATGAATGATAAAATGAATGAAAACGACGAAAATAAAGAGGTGTATAAATCTCTATTTCACTCTCTCACTCTCTCTCTCACACACGAATTATTTTCTAGTTGTATGGAATTTCATCCGGATAAAAAATCGAGAGAATGCTACAGTAAAGAAATAGAAAAATCGAAAGCAACAGAAAGACAACATGGGATAGAACCTGGATGGGATGAAATATGGCGTCATTTGTCAGAGATATATGTCATGTGATAGTGAACCTTGTTAAACTAGTAGAAAGGAAACAACGTGTCTTATGAAAAGAATATTTTCGCATAATCGACGAAAATTATATATTAGTAAGAAACAGAAATAATCTTCGTCGATGAATGACCGACGATAGTATAACAAGAAAAATGCGCGCTTAGCTAAAGTACACATGTTTGAAAAATTTCACAATTGGCGAAATGAACATCGAGCGTGACTCTTTGGATAGTGCGGATCTAAAAAGAAAGTGAACAATTCTGTCTCAATCATGCCGTCATAGAGAGTAACAAGGACATTTTTCATTCAGTAAATCTAGTTATACAAAATCAATTCCGCTATTAGTTATACTAAAAATAAATCGCATAGTTGAAATTCTCGAGATAGACTATCTGAATTTCGTAGTAAAAATTTATCGAATCCTCGATAAATTCAGTTCTTCGCTCGTGTGTGTTGATAAAAACATATTGGATCGCTTGAAATAAATGAATTTCAGTTATTGTTTTTTCCTATTAAATATTTTGACTCATGATCGTCTTTTTTTTTACAAAATAATTTTGCTGAACTATTGAACACTAATAAAGTTGTTTGTAAACTACGTGAAGCAAATTCAATCGAGCTGCTTTGTTTATCAGGAAAGCTCATATTGGAGACCGCTATCAGATTTACGAGCACCTAAAAGATTTCGCTTCATTGAACTTTGGAGGTGAATAAGAATCAGTTTATTGTATTTTTCACTCAGCATTGCATACATAATGAAAAGTAAACAAGTAGAACTTTGGTAGATAATATCAAAATTAAAAATTCAATGATGACTCATTCAAAGCACAGAAAACTTCGAAAATAGTACGACTGATTTCTTCTACATTTTGAAAAAAATCATTAGATCAATGAAAGCATCTTTTTAATTGTTTGTAACAGGATTTACGGTCATGGTCTTCTGTAGTGTACGATACATAAAGAAGTAGATTCAATATATTTGCAGTACATGATTGGATGAATCCTTCAATATTTTCTGATACAGAACCTCCAAGTTCGATATGTAAATGAGTATATTTTTTGGATTCGTTTTTTTTCGTGTAATTTCCAATAAGATGAATTTTAATATCATAAGGAAATTTTTCAAAGTTTGTCGAATGAACAGGAGAGTATTTACATTCGAGGAAAACCTGCCTATGGCTTTTGTAGAGAATTCTATGCAGATATTTTTGGAAAAAACTATATTTCAAAACGATAATTAATGAAGAATTGAATGAGAAAATACTACGCCATTCAGTTATTCTGTTGTACTCGGTTCAATGATTTATTGGTTTCAGTCCAATTTATATTCTTCTATACACACTATTAAGATACCGTCATCGTACTACTATAACAATCGTGAATCGCCTGACACATCTTATGACATAACTATTTTTCCTTTCTATTCTTCGACTTGACGTGTTGTGCTTCTTCGGGAAAGGTCTGAACTATTCGGGAAAAGAATATTGAAAAGTTAACGAAAAACAAACAAACAAGGCGTGCTTTCGTTTTTTTCTCTCTTTTACATTCTGCTTCTATATATATATATATATATATATATGCATATTCGCGTATATCATCCGATCCGTAGTTATAGCATTGTCATTTTCACTTTTATTTTACATCTATTACTTATATATTTATATCGCATCAGATATATCATTCTTGTTTTGTATTTTAACGTCTTTTTTATTGCTTTGTCAAAATGACTCATATATTTCGGGATTCTTCTGTAAGTTAAAATTGAAAAACAAAATCATCGCAATTAAATTATCATTTAATATAGTATTATAAAGATGATAAACGAATTGCTTATTGCAATCAAATATCTCCGGAGTATCAATTCGGTAGAAATATTCTTTTACAAGAGAATTCAATATGTCTATTTTTTTCCTGTAATTTAATATAGAAAAACCTGCAATCGATCGATTATTAGATTATATTTCGAATCAACAATCTCAAAAACCAGCCATCGATATATTGATTCAAGAATATTTAGAATGGGTTGGTGGTCCACTAACGTATCAATCACCGTATATAGCACCATTAATGGAAATAAGTTTGTAGAAATAATTTATTATTTTCTCTTTTAACAATTTCAATGTTGTTTTTATTTAGACATTGAAAGTGGAATTGATAATAAAAATACTTGTACACAACAAACTCAAACACCAACTACAGGAATACAATATTATCAATCAGCAGCATCATTCTATCCAACTCCATTAACGTCAAGTAATGATATAATGTACGATTCAAATTATGATTATCGAAATACGGCATCAACACCTTCACTTCCGTATGCTAACGGATAAATATAAATTAACGTGACGATTTTTATTTTTCAATAGACCATTGTCAGCTCGATCGTATCGTTCGTCGTCAATAGCCAATGATGGAGTAGGCGGCAGCACACCCTCAACTCGTATGTCAATTTCATCAAATCAAGACATTTCTATGGTTGATCGATTTGTATGTTTGATTTTTAGTTTTATTTTAAAGTAGAAAAATACATTTTGAAATTTTAGACCAAAACGAATAATAGCCAAGAGAATCGTTTAAAACGTGCTGCTGCTGAAGAACGTCGTCAAGCCACACGTAAATTTTCATTATTCTTGATAAATCTCGAGTGACTTCTTTTTTTTTGTCCTTTAGGACATTTTGGAAAAGTTCAACCAGGTTTAATTTGGACAGCACCATTACCAGTTCGACCGAGGATATTTTCTATACGACCACCAGCATTGTCTTGTAAGATATTTCTTGGTGGTATTCCACATGATCTTAATCCAAGTAGGCAACGGATTTGTTTTTCATAAAAAATGTTGGGAACATACGTGATATGCATTTCAATAGGAGACTTACAAGAACGTTTAGAAAATTTTGGTTCAGTTCGACTTGAATGGCCCAATAAAGATAATACCACAATGCATAAAAATTCATCAAATCATAGTAAGAATTCAAAAAACCTGCATCTATTATTAGTTTCTCCTACATCACAATTTAATAGATCAGATATCAATAGATTACTAATAATGTTGTTTATTTATTTTTAATAAATTAGTTACAGTTGGTTTTGTTTATGCTGTATATGAAAATGAAGAATCCGTTCATAAGATCTTACATACGTGTTCAACAAAAACTGATCGAACATTAGATGATGGCCGATGTGAATATTATCTTGATGTATTCAGTCAACGTGCAAATTCAAGACGAAAGAGTGTAGGTTTATCTTTTTGCAAAATAAAATTTAACACAAAATTTCCTTTTTTAGATACAAATTATACCTTGGTTTGTGGTAAGTAAAACTTTTATTTGCAAAATTTTTTAAATAATTTCGGTTTCTCTTACATAGGAAGATTCTCAATGGGCCGCTGAAGGTGATTACACATCAACTGGTTATAGTAGTTGGGAACAACGAGTTAATTCAACTGAATGCATCAATAGAACAGTATTTGTTGGCGCTCTGCATGGAATGATGACAGCATTTGCATTGGCTCGTATTTGTCACGAATTATTTGGTGATGTGGAATATGCAGCTATTGACACTGATAGAAATAAATATCCGATTGGTAAGATATAATTCTATGAGTTGAGTTGACCTGTATTGATATCATTCAAATTAAAATTCTTTAGTTAAAAGCGATAGAATGCTCGATTCTATGTTTCTGTTTAGGTTCAGGACGTGTCATCTTTGTCAATGCACATAGTTACTATGCAGCTGTTACAGCCAATTATTTGATGATTGAATGCGACAAATTTTGTAAAGTGGTATGTTACATTTCTCTTAAAAATTTATTGCATCGATCGCACTGTGTTTCTATTAGATTCAAATTGATCCGTATGTATCGGATAATGTTCCATGTACGGGTAGTAGTGGGCAATGGTGTCCAAATATGGGACAGTATTTTTGTCGTTCGCTTAAATGTATGAAATATTATTGTGCAACATGTTGGGATTTGAATTCAAATCATTTAACAATACAAACAAGTGAATATGAACCACCGGCGATGGTTCATAAACCATTGATGCGCAACGCTCGCACAGCCTGAAGATAATAAGCATTTCTTTATCAGTGATATTAACCTAATCTAAAGATTTTTAGTTTTGTTTTTGACGGCTTTTTCCGAAACTTGAAAAAAAGTGATTATGTACAGTTAGTTAAGTTCTTTTTTTTGTTTTTTGTTACTATATTATAAACATTAAGTGCCTGTTACGTTTTGTTTTGCGCGTGAGATATGCGCTTCACCTAGAAGAAGGAAAAAAACGCAGGTTTTTTCATGATTGTTTTGTCAGTTTTGTGCTTTTTCTGTTTATTCAAAATTTCGAAAGATTTTACATTTCATTCTTCTGTCAAATATAAGAAAAACAAAACATTTGCGTAGAAATTTTTCTAGAATTCAATTATAATTATATCCGAGTCTATGAATAAAAAAGAGTAGGCGAAAGAATGACGTAAGTGTTATTAGCTTTCAACAATCTATTCATGTTAAATAATAGGTCCTCAATCGAGGGATTTTTATAATAAACATGAAATGTTTTCGCTGTGGGATCGAAGAAAAAAATGTATCGTTAGTAATATAATTTGCAATGATTACCGAGTAAATTACTTCGTAATTTGTTGTGTTCGATCATTAATCGTTTGTCCAATATTTGTTCAATGCAAAATTCAGCAATAGCTTGTTCTTGCTTATATTGGTATTATTTTACATAGGAATTTATTTAGAGAGCTTTCTAATCCGACACGTTACTCTTATATCTGCTAAATGATGACTGTATTAATGTTATATACGTAGAAATAGATAGTCAAAGCTAGCGTATTCATCAACTTGACATGCTGTATATTTTATTTATAATTGCAAGGATATGTGAGGCTATAGGAGATTTATTTATGCGAAGGAGGAAGATCGTCTATTCATAGAAGAACACAATCATTAAATCTATTCGCCTATGTATTTACTAAACATTGATTCCAATCATTCTTAACAACAATTGACTTTATTTAACTCGATGGTTTGATACATCATCGGTATTTATCGTTTTTTTGTAACATCTGCAAAATACAAATGATCTGCTAACGATTTCATGGCACATGTTCTGCATAAATTCTTTCATTACTAAATATGTTGATCATTTCCTGATAGCAGACGTAAAATCATCACAGAAAATTGAGCCAAAGAAATTTGTATAATTTAATTGTATTTCTTTAATTCTATGAGAATGTTTTTAAATTGATATAAAAAAAAGAGCAGATAGAACCAGATCTTCACTTATAAAATACAATAATATAAAAACAAATACACAGGACACTTATTGACAAATATGGAATTAAAATTAAATATTTATATTTATGGTAGCTAGAAAAATGCGAAGGTCTCGGTTGCGTTATGATTGAAGTCATTGACGTGTTTTTTACCATTGATAAAGTAATATCAAAAGTTCATATTCATAATAAAAATAAATGTGTTATGTGTACTTAAAAAACTGAGTCGGCTTATATATGTTGTGAATAATTCTGAGAAAAAAATCCCTGTACCCCTCCCCCCGTCAGGGATGGTCTGGTTAATAATGACATTTTTTTCGATAACTCAGCCATTTCTTGACAGATTTCTTTCATCTTCGAACTCGACTGAGATATTGATGAGATCATTCTGTGTGTACACAATTCCATGACAATTGGATGAGGCTTTCAAGAGTTATCGTGTTAACGACCGGACGGACGCACTGACCGAATCTAGAGTGTACTCACCTTGTTTTTGAGTACACAATAGAAATACTGTTATCGCATTTTTTTCCGATAATCTCTTGACTTTCACAACTAAATTAATTATTCGTTTTCAGAATATTTCTATTATAAATATGAACTATAGAAATTCCCTTGTCAGTGATAGAACCATTGACTTTGCTAGCTGAACTATCATGATAACAATAAAGCGACTTTCAAATCCACCATTCTGTACATAAATATTTCGTAACAGAAGAACGACACCATCCTATGTATTTCCTTGTTCATCTTCACTTTCACTGACAATTAAATTATTTGTTGAACCACCATTATTGTTTAATAGAAAATATTGCTGAGGTTCAATATTGGACTCTATATAGATGAATTTCCGAGAATGACGACAAGCACATATTGTATAAACAATAGCCATAACAATTACCGAAATAATTAAAAAAATAACTAAATAAAAATAGTTAAAAATCGAACTGTTTCCTTAAGAAGTCTTACTTAGAAGTGGAGATATTTTTTCTTGTGAAAAATCAACTAGTATATGTTTAACATTGTCTAATGAACCATTTGTATTACGTTGATTCAAACGAAGTATATAAGACATCAATGGATAAATATCAACATTACGAAATGGCTCAGCTAGAAGATTTGAACGAAACGCAGGTCCAAATCCATAAAATATTGGATGCATGGATTCAGCTCGATTATCATAGCCATGGTTACCAAGTAAATCAGAAGATTCATCACCTGGTACAACGATTTGATAACCAATTTTACCAACAATTAATATATCTTTAATATAGGAATAGCCATTTTGTTTTGATAATACGAATTTAACTTACCTCCAATGCGTACATTAGATTTGTAATGATATTCATCAGGTATTTGAGATTTTTTGTATACTTCATAATTTTCAATTTTGGATAGATTTGCGTAGAGACGATCGATGTCAGATGCTAAATAGTGGAATATTTTAACCTCTACTTCGTGACATTCGAAAGAGAGAGAGAGAGCACGAGAACAGGTCATTTACGAACATTTTCGTTGACAGAAACTGTCAGAATTCTAGGGACAAGTAAGAAGGTGTCGAATGAAAGACCAAGCCTTGAGATATAGATATCCTCCAACATATTTATCTTCATTGAGATTGTGCTGGCGTGAAAAGGTTATTTTTAAGAAAAGAGATCAAGCTTACTAAAAACCTACCTTTGTTAACAAATATGTTAGCAAGTGAATGACTACCATAGACTGAATATAAGGATTTGTCAATATATTGATCAAGAAAAAGTTGATGCTTTTTATTCACAGCATGCATTCCATGATCAGCAGTTATAATAACATTGAGATTCTGTTTTAAATATTCATTACCATCAATAGCTTTTAACAATAGTCCAACATAATCATCACATTCTTGTAATGTTTTATTCATTTCAGACGAGATTGGACCGTAAAGGTGACCTTTGAGAAATCAATAGATTGCGTAAATAATTTCATTCGTCTATTCAAATTTTACCTGTTAGATCAGGCTCTGAATGATAAGTAGCACCAAAATTAATGCGTGTGCCAATCGGTTCGTTAAGCCATTCGAAAATTCGCTTTAAAACTGTATCAAATTTACGATTGGAATCAAATGCTTCATATCTATATGGTAAATGCCCATTGATAGGTGTATTACAACCTGGCCAAGCAATGACACCTGACCTTCGTTGATTCGAATCTTTAGCTAATTGATTGCTCGCCCAAATCGGTTGAGAATATGGATTTTGTGACCTGAACAAAAACAGAAAATTCTTCTCTATTAGTAGATAACGGTCCAATAAACTGATTTAAGTGACCAATACTTACCACCATTTCGTATCATTCATTGTGCTAACAGTTGCAGAAGCATTAAGTATTGGATCATATATGATATTAGCAACAATTCCATGAGTTTCTTCAAATAAACCTGTTATCATTGTAAAATGTGAAGGGAATGTAACGGTAGCAAAACTATTATCAATATGTTTTACACGAACACCACGTTTCATTAACGAATTAAAATTCGGCAATTGATATATATCTGGATAATCCCAACGAAATCCATCGAATGACATTAATAATAAAAGCGGTGGCGATGATGATGTCGGTGAAGAATGAACAAACGAAATAAGTAAACATAAGAAAATACAAATAATCATGCTTATCTCGTTCGACATTATTTCATATTGCTCATCTAAAATACGAATCTGTTTAGACAATTCCAATCATAAGGTTCGGAAGAACAAGAGAAAGAAGTTCGTTCTAAGATTATATGAAGTTTATTTATGTTAGTGTACATTAATGATTGTCTTTTCAGGTTTTTTTTTGTTGAGTAGATTCATTAGTAGCATGTGAAGTTATATATGAGAATTAGCTTGGAATACGCAAGACAAAAATAATAATAATACACGAAAATATACAGATCTCTTTTGAAGAATACAAAAAACAAAACTTGTGATAATCACAGAGAACAAAAACAAAAAAAAACGATATTATTATTCCTGTAGTTAAAGATTATCATCACCGATTGTTCGATTTAATTTCATGTCATTTATTTGCGTAAATTTGTATTGATTTTGTTCTGCTATTGTCAATGGATCGAGATGTGTCGCTCGTGATATGGCTGAAGCATTTCGAAAGGAAACACCTGACCAAACAACAGCCATGATAAGAATTAAAACAAAACTGACTAGTACTAAAATGAAAAGGAAATACAATCAATATTCTATTCAGAGAATATGACCTTCTCTTATATTGTAAAAAATTTATTGTAGTAAAATGAATAAGGTCGTTCAAAATCAATGATTATAGAATAGTATGAGAGATATGTTGAATTACTTATCCAAGAGAAAGATGCATCCACGAGTACGTCTATTTCTGTCAGAATTTTATTTACTAACTCACGCTTTCATGAGTAAACTATTCGCTGGTTTATTTCAGACAGTCAGATATATTACTATTTTTAGCTACATAATTACTACTGTTCCACTCCAGTAACACTCATACTCCTCGATAATGTTGATGATATAGTCAACCTTGACTGTGAATAATAAATGTCATTCAACCGAATAAATCCTCGATTTTTCTTTATTTTCACAAATCCCAATCTACCATACATTCTTGATTGATCGATGGGAAACTCTGATTAGCAAGCAGATCTGTTTATTTTTGTTTCGCTACTATTTTACGAAATAAATCTTCCTATGCAAAAAAGAATTTAGTTCGACTCATCTCTTCAGTTAATCAGATTAATTCTTTCGGCTTATATGCATCGCGCCAGACAGCACAGAATTATCTCGCTAGGGAGTAAAAATTGCAATAATTTATTCTAGTAGTAAAAATGCATTCTACTTTACCAAGTAAATAAATAACTAAACTCATTGATCCATCTTGTGATTTTCCTGGGTCTTTTTCAATAATACCAAGAACTCGAGTTGGATCCTTTAGAAACGGCTGAATATTAGCTAAAGAACCATTTGATGGCGGACATTTTGTAATATTAAGTATCAAACACATTAAGGCAAATATGTCGACATTATGCAAAGTTGCTGTATTAGATAATGTAAAATTATCTCTCAGTTGTCGTCCACTTGCGTAGAATATTGTTTTCATTGAATTCATTTGATTATCATATCCATGATTGCCGTGTATTGCACTCAAATTAACTCTGATACCACCATCTTTGTATCTATTGCACGATAGAAAGCAAAAAAGAAAAAAAATTAAAGAATAATCATACGGAATGAACGTCGATGAAGCTCATAGCCAGGATCAACCATGATAATTAGATTACCAATACGTGAATTATTTGTATAATGATATCTTGCGGGTATATCTTGCTGTCTATAGATTGTTGTATGTGGAATTTGACTCAAATTTCTATATACATCATTGACGTCATTGGCTAGAATAAAAATGCAAGTGGATAATTAAATTTTCATTATTGTGTTTTAGTTGATCAAAATGGAGCGCTATCGCTATGCTTGCCTATGGTAAAGCATAAGTGAAAATTAACTTACTTGAATTAAGAAAAATATTCAAAACAGTTTCTGTCCCGAATGCTTTTAATTTGTTCATATCAACATAATCTTCTAGATATATTGGTCGATCAGTACCATTAATTTGTTCCATTCCATGATCAGATGTAATAATGAGATGAAGATTTTTTTTCAAATAACTATTTCTATCGATTTCATTAAGAAGATAACCTAAATTGTTATCACATAATTTTATTGTATCGTTCATTTTATTTGAATAAGGTCCAGTTTGACGACCTAGCAGGGCATTTTTTCATGATAAAATTAGTATTCAAAAAGAAAAACAAATGTACCTGTTAACTCAGGTTCTGGAAAATAAATTGCACCAAAATTGATTGGCTCTTTTGGATCATTAAACCAATTCAACATTTGATCGGTTACGTCTTGAAATGTTCGTTCTTTACGATACGGTTCATATTTCGATACAAAAATCTGATTTTGTGGCCATCCAATAACTCCCGATCGACCTTCTGGTCTTTGTTCGTTTATTGTCCAAATAGTTTTGAATGGCCACCATTGGCTAGTCATGTTTCCCGATGTCTGAAAAGTACTATTCGTTTTTGAATCATATATTTGATCAGAAACTAATCCATGAACTTCTTCATAAAGACCTGTAATTAACCTAATTTAAGTGGAAAATAAATCCAATACAAATGTAAACTAATAAGTAAACATACGTATAGTGATTAGGAAATGTTGCAGTAGTAAAGGTTGGTATCATGCTGTGAGCATGTACACCCCGTTCTTCTAAACGCGAAAAATGTTGTAATGGCCCGTATAACTGTGGATAGTCAAAACGAAAGCCATCAAATGAAATAAGAAGTAATAGAGGTGGAGATTGACTAAGTATAAAAGATGATTTATAACAAAGCAAAACAAACGAAAGCCAAGACATTTTGCCTGTGCGTGTTTTCTTAATGACAAAATGATGTTGGGAAACCAATGTTTTCTTATTTGATGATGATTTATGACTAATTAAATACAAGATAGATGTCAGGAGAAAATTTTCCTTAGAAAAAAACAATTTCTGAAACTAAGATCATTTTTTAGAAAATAAATGTTTTCATTTTAAGTAAAATAAATTTTGATTGATTTTTTTCAATAAATTTGACATAGCGATGGCAACTCGATTAATCAGTTGTTGTTATCCGAAAAGAAAATATGAATAATGGGTTTAAGTGAAGATTCAAGAAGATGTTGATAATATATATATATTTATCAATCTACACAGTAAAATGTACGTCATAGAAAAGATTGTGGTCTTTCTTAATAGATAAAATCATCAAGAGACAATCATAATTGAATTACAAATGAAGTCGTCAACTTATACCAGCACAATCCCTTGATTTGATGGATGAACTGCCAAAAATGGTAGATATAAATTGAACAATTGATCGTCCGAATGTTTATGAACTATTGAAAAATACTTTGGATAAGATTTATTTGCACAAATAGAATTTGTTGATATGGCTATTGTTAGTGCAGCATGAAGTAATTCAAAACAAGTTAGAAACAAAAACTATAGAATATAATTCTAATTTTTCTTTTTTGTGAATTATAAATTTTATTTAAATAAATAAAATGGATTTTTTTCTACATGATGTCTTCTTTTTAATAAATTCAATTGTATGCGATCAAACCACGATTATAATAATACGAAAAGAAAAAAAAATCTGTTATTTTCTTTTATACATCTAGAGTATTGAGAAATTTGAGTCATTCTTGCGCAATTTCTCAGGTCTACAATATATATATATACAAGGTAGTTTTTATTCTGAATTCAGCTTCATTCTCTCTAGATTATTGAGCAATTACCATTATTAACTTCGTTATCATGGCGGTCCGTACACAATTTGAAAGTAATAATGATATTGGTGTTTTTGCCCGATTAACAAATGCTTATTGTTTGGTCGGGACTGGTGCATCAGAAAATTTTTATTCAACATTTCAAAGTGAACTTAGCGAGCATATACCTGTGATTCATTCATCTATCGGTAGGATCTTCGAAGATTATTTTTTGTGAATTCGAAAAATAAAAATTTTGCTTTTTAAGGTGACTGCCGTATTGTTGGTCGTTTAACCGTTGGTAACCGACATGGTCTTCTAGTCCCATCTTCTACAACTGATAAAGAATTGCAACATATTCGTAATTCTTTGCCAGACAATATTCGTATAAAACGTTGCGAAGAACGACTATCAGCATTAGGAAATGTGATTGCATGTAATGATTATGTTGCTCTTATACATCCGGATTTAGATAAAGAAACTGAACAAATTCTAACAGATACACTCAATGTTGAATGTTTTCGACAGACAATAGCCGATCGTGTTCTTGTTGGTAGTTATTCAATATTTTCAAATCGAGGTGGACTTGTTCATCCTAAAACATCTGTACAAGAACAAGAAGAACTATCTTCGTTATTACAAGTACCACTTGTTGCCGGTACAATTAATCGTGGTAGTGATGTTGTTGCTGGAGGACTTCTAGTTAATGATTGGATGGGATTTTGTGGATTAGACACAACAGCACATGAAATAAGTGTAATTGAAAGCGTATTTAAATTGGGACAATACTCTTCAACGGAAACAGTAAACAATAAAACAATTAAAGATTCACTTGTTGATGCGCTAACCTAATTTTTGTGTATTCTATATTTTATTGGTATCATTTTGATAAAAAAAGAAAATATGTAGAGTATAAAATGATGATTAAAAAGGACAACGTGAATTTTGTCTATTCATTTCAAATGTTTCATTTGACTAATAGAATACTTTACATAATTTTGTGCTTGATGCACGCTGATAAAGCGCCACAATGACTCACTTTGTTACGTAAAATAATATTTCAAAACATTCTTATAGATTATATATATATATATATATAGATGCTCTGTTTCACAAAAAAAACATGAATCATTGTTATATTGTCTACGGCGATTAAAACAACAAAAAGGGTACGTTGTGTACAGCCTTTTTTTCTTTTTCATTCTTCTATCAGATTCGATAGTTGCTATAGAGTATTTTTAGAAATTCAAAAAAAACGTCATGATTTTTATTGCTTTGAAAAATGTAGACGTCATATTTTTTCATCACTGTTTTAATGTGTTCTTTTTCACGTAAGAAAAAAACGAACGCTTAATTAACTGTATTTTATTCTAAACTATTCCGATTAACATCTGAAACACACCTTTAATACAACTTGTGACTTCACAAAAAAAATCAGATAGCCATGTCCATTGAAATGCAAAAATAGACGATAAATTACCTATCATTGCAATTATTATCATAATATGCACGTTTATACATCTCAAAATATTGCTATTGATAGTAGAACATTTCGTACGCATATATAAAAGCGTTTGCAGCTTTGTATTCGAACTACGCATTTTTTTTTGTTGCTCGATTCAAAGTACGCAATATTATTTTATTTTTCTATTTGGATTCGATTCGTTTTCAAAAGAAAATATGAGGTGTGCGTGCATTTCATCCCACGGTCTAGGAAACATTGTGATTAGATAATTATTTTTTTATCCTTCCTTAAATACGTCTGAGTATGTGGCTCGATAGAAGCATTGAATATAAAGTCGAAAGATAGAGCGTCATAAATAGTAGTATTCTACGAGAAAGAAAAAGTTCATTTCTACGTTAAAAATAACATAATATAGTGAGTACGATGCCATCACCAAAGTCCCGGCGTTCAAGTTTACGTCGAAATAGTACTGAGCTCTTACAACGGGCTAAGCACTTCCAAGAAAAATATATTCTTCATCCATTTTGGATTTCTCGATCAATGGGTAAAATTGAAAATATTACTCAAATCCCCGATATCGATATTGCTGAAGCTGGCGTTTGTAAATATTTATTAATTGAAGCTCGAGATCATGGTACCACTTATGGCCAATCGAAACTTGTTGTTCGTGGTGATGCTTCGTGTGCTTATCATGGTAAGAATTAATTTTTTGATAGAATACATTAGATATTGGATTTATTTAGCTGATGTATTGAGTAAAATCGAAAGTGAAATTGATGAAAAAAGTTTAACATTAACTTGCAAAGGCGGTGGACGAATAGAAGTTGATCCTGGAACAAGATCAATTTCGATCTATGGCTATTCTCCAGTTAGTTATGAGTTTGTCACTGACAACTATTTCATGTCATACGTTTTGCCTAGGAATTTGGTGCAGCTGATCATGAGAAAACATTAGAAATTCTTGAAAAGAAATATCATCAATGGACAATTAACATTAAAGGTCTCTATCATTGCAGAGATTATTTTCTAACGCACTTTCTTTTTCGTCTTTTAGATGATGAATATTAATGAAAATGATCAATTTTGTTCTAGTGAGTTTTAGTATACAAATATGTGTGTAATTATTGTAGTGTGTACTTGCATGAATAAAGAAAAGACTCTTTATAATTGTTTCTTCTCATTATTTTTATACAGATAATAATAAACGCTTCTTTTTGTCTCTACCAGCAGTTTTAAATACACATATATTAATTTGTCCTTGTTTGCTCTTTTGCTGATTGTCATAAAAAAAAATGTAGTTTCGTATGTTGATGATGCATATTTATATGTACCTTGATGATGATGTACAAGGATGTATAGACTGACGAAGACTACAGTACCTTGACCTCTAATAGACAAGCATAACGAAAGATACAATCGTTGGCGACACGAATGACACGGATAAAAAAAGGCGAACTGGCATGCTATGCAAAAAAAAATTTATTAGTACATAGAACGAAACGTTGATCATTGATTTAGTTAAAGTTTTTATACTCTAAAAAAGACCAGAAGATACAAGTAAGACGATCAGGAGAAATTGCTTTGTATATAAGTATGTTTTATAGAAACCTTGTTGGATAAAAATGATTCTGATATATTTATTATGATAATAAACCTATCGAACAATTATAGAATAGTGAAACAATAATAAATTGTCTTTGCCGATTACGACATCACTTTCATTAAGGACATCTCCTTGCCATAATTGTTCGTGTCCTTGTTCGACGACACTCAGAGGTTTTTCATTGATTATCCATCTCTTGTTTCACCATCTGTTAATTCCGTTTGTCGCGTCTCATTTTCTCAAGTATATTCAAGAAAACTCTTGCTTTTTTCCTCTTTCTTTTCTCTACGAATATGAGCGTGTAAGACACACGACCTTGCTTTTATATTATTGTGGAAATAGCGACGGCATCAGGCGAGTAACAACATCTTCAAGGCTATTTATTGTTTTGTTTTGCTTTTGAACATTTTCTTGTACAAAATTAAGAATCTTTATTTTCTATCTGATGAATAATTTTCTTTTATCTTTACGATTGACAATGTTTGTCAAGAATATGTAGAGTAAAAGAGGATCGAGTAATAGAAGTCAATCATTGTATTTATACAGCCGAACATCATTCACGATTCACTTGTCTTACGCGTAATTTGATCAAGTCGTTGCCGGTTGAAAGATTATGCAAGTTATGCACTATCTTATTTGAATCGAATGTATCTCAACTACATATACAATTTTTTTTTTACCATCTGATCATTAGCATCAATAAGGAAATAGGAAACAAAAAAAAATAATACGAACGACATATTCTACATTATTCCGTCTTATGATGTAACATTTTTTTTTCTCTTTTATCATTGAAAACCGGTTGATATTTGTTTTCTTCTTTTTTTTTTGTGCTCTACTATTCTGATAGTTATTGATCAATAGAGATTGACGGATTTTCAGAAGAGCAGAGAGAAGAAGAAAGACAAAGGCCTTTTCTAATTGCTACCAACCGGCTTTTCGCAATGTCAGCAGAAAAAAAAGAAGAAAAAGAAAAAAAACCGCACACTAGTTGTTATTCGCCTTCACTCTCATATGCTAATATTTATAGGATGACTGCAACTCAATGTTTATCTATTTCGTCGAATAGAAACATTTTCAATGGTAACAACGATATTATTACCTTTAATATTGGCGGTCATATTTATTCAACGCGACGTTCAACAATCAATGAAAATCTTGATTCACAATCGTATTTATCTTTGATTGTAAAAAATCAAACGAAAATTCAATTAGATAATAATGGTCATTATTTTATTGATCGTGATGGCAAATATTTTTGTTATATATTAAATTATTTTCGTGAGAAAAAACTTATCTTACCGGAAAATTTCAATGAATTAAAACAACTTTTTTCTGAAGCAAAATTCTATCAAATCGATGGACTAATAAATGAAATTGAAAATCATTTAAATAAAACAAATGAAACCAATAAAGAGTATCATCGCGGTTTTCAATTTACTTTAATTTCAAATTTAGAAAAAAATGGGAAAATATTAAAATTAATTGGTCCATTAAAATTAATTACTTTTTTTCATATTAAATTAATCGGAGAAAAATTTTTAAATATTATTTCTTCGTTTAAGAATCCGCAAGATATTTTATGTCAATTGTCTTTTTCATTTGATGAGAACCTAATAGCATGTCAACCAATCGATCAACTGCAACGTTTTGTACTTACTAAACAAGCTAGAAAAATGAATTTAATAGTTAGTTATTGTGATGATTATTTTTATATACCTACTGAACGTGACATTATGTCACGGCATGAATTTACACAAATATTATTACAAATGCATAATGGAAAATTATTAGATTCAAATATTAAACATGATGATTCACAAAGTCTAGTCGAGCATTGGTTTTTGCCAACAGAATTTGACGAAGCATTCGAATGCAAGCAGAAATAGTGTACATTAAATTATTCTTTCTTTCTTTCTTTCTATCGTTCTTTTTCTTGTTTGTTTTAATTTGTTTGTTTCTTTTGACAAACATCTCAGTCTCTCTTCTTTTTTTCGGAATTTATATACAATACGAATATGCAAGTAAAATTAAAAATTTATATTTATTTTTTTTTTGTTTTATTTTCTTTTGTTGAACATAATCTTAGACAAGCATCTGGCTTATATGAAGCTGGACCTGGACCTGAGCTTGAGAGTTTGACTTTATGAAATCGTTCAGTTGATGAAAGAAAACCGAGTAGTGGATTTTTTTCTTGATTTAATTGTGACGGTTTTTCGTGAGAAAATAAGTTTTGAAAATAAGTAGTTGGTCCAGGAGACAACATTTGTTGATTTTTATTCGTATTGAGATTAGACGGAAGTGGTAAAAATTTACCTTTGTAGCAATTATATTTAGAAAAAAGTATTTCAAAAATCGAAGGAAGTATCTTGTCTTGAACACGAGCTGGTCCTTTATACCAATCTCGAAGTTTACTATGATGATCTTGCGCTAGTTTAACATACGGTCCATAAATTCCTGGAAAAAAAATTTTTTTTTTCTTTTATTAATAAATAATCTCCTAGGATCAGTTTTCATCTGTAGTGTAAAAATAGATAAATATAACCTTGTAAAATATATCTCTACTGAAGGAGTCTTATCTTGTAAAAACATTCCACATCATGTTACATATCCCTTATGAGATTGTCAATTGATATTATTTAATGCGGTTATCGAATGATTCGGGATTCCGTATAAGAAGCTTACATATATTAAGACGCAAGATGTTCATTGCTTTTCAATTAGTTTACTAGGTCATCAATGAAATAGAGCAGTAGTTTTATACATCTCGTTTTAAGACGCATTATTTTCATAGATCATTACATTCGAAATCCTTTTATCGGGAAGAATACAAAAAAGATACCTAACAGTATACTTTCCTGTTTGTTTACGTTGAATTTCATCGACAAAACTTAATTTTTCATACAAAGTAACAGGCGGAGCACGAGCTGCTAATTCTTTTCGTTTACGACAAAGATTATTACTTTGTCGATCAAGTCGTATCGCATTGTAACGTCTTTCAAATTCATGTTTTCGTTGTAATTCATCAGGAATATTGCTTAAACTATGTATTGTCGTCTAAAATTTTAAATTACTTAAATGAACATCAAATAAAAGATTTTCTACTTGAGTATGACAAAAATGTCTTGTTTTACGAGATACAGATGAGAATCGCTTTGATTGTTGATAATAAGGTCCATATTTACTGCATGATTTTTGTCGATAGATTTCATCAATTGTGATTGGATTGTATGAGCCTGGTCCTAGAATTTTATCATGATGTTTTGATGAAAGTGCGTAATTGGCCAAATGTAAGCTTTTAAATAAATTGGTATCTAATTGTTGGCCATAAATACTTTTCCGACATTTATTATATGATGAAACCGACATGAAATATTGTAATTAACTGCGATTCTATGGGCGCCTTGTACTTCTTTTATTTAGATTAATATGAAATATCTACATACCTTTTTCTTTTTAATCATTGGTCTTCCATCTTTTTTAACAAATCAAGTTACAAATGAATTTATTATTCTTCTAATTAGTCAACCTCATATATATATTTTAAGTCAACTTCATAATGCTTCAACATTTATTCCAGCACATATTCCGCTTCTTTATACACATTCATATCTATCATCAGTCCCGAACTGGTATGCAATATATCCATTGTTTTCATCAATCATAAATCAGTATGCTCAGTTGAAATGGCTTTTCATATGTGAACCTCAAGCACGCATGAATCTAAATGAACTCATAGCATTTGCAGAAAACTCGAATGATGATTATGTTGGTCATGGCTTATATGATTCGGAACCGAGTATAATTCATCACTATTCATTTTCATTAGACAATCCATATCCAGATTTCGCATCGGGTGTTTTACTATCAAGAAAAATTTTATCATTATTTATAAATCGTTATGAAACTTACACGAAAAAAATTGATTTTATTATTGATGTTAAATATGAACTTAATCAATTATTAAATGAATTGACAGACACGAAATTAGTTGATAGGCCAGAACTTTTTTGTAACAAAAATAAAAATACATGTCTAACATGGTACGATGGACAATATGATTATTCATGTGGGCGAACTAATATACAATTAGAAGATTTATATATTGGTATAAAAACATTTATAGGTTATCATAAGACACGTATCGACTTTTTAAGAAAAACCTGGTTAAATGATAAACTTAATTATAATTTTTTTACCAATGAAATCAATGAAACAAATGACAATAAAAATAAAGAATTTATTATATTAAAAGAAAATACTGAACGTGGTCATTGTCATAAAACATTTTCAATTTTCCATTATTTTTATTATACAAAAGAAAATTTAAAATATTTAATTATTGCTGATGACGATACACTTTTGTCCGTAGAACGAGTTCTTCGTCTAGTACGATGTTTTATGCTTTCAAATGATATTCCTATGGTACTTGGTGAACGATATGGTTACGGTAATTATTATGATTATCCAACCGGTGGATCAGGCATGATTTTTAATCGACAAGCTGTACAACAGATAATTTCAAATTGCGCATGTCCATCACCCGACACACCCGATGATATGTTCTTAGGTTTGTGTCTAAAACGCATTAATATACCATTAACAAACATCCCGGAATTACATCAAGCACAACCGGATGCTTATTCAAAGGATTGGCTTGAACATCAAAAACCCATTAGTTTTCATAAATTCGAAGGTATTAATGTTGAACAAGTGTATAGAACTTATCTATATGAAAAACATACGCCTAGTGATGTCCCATCTAATCACATCACCAAGGATGAATTTTGACCCTACGATAAGTTTAGGTAAAAATTCAATAAACTTTAACATAGTAGTATTAACTCATTTTGTATTTCGATTTTTTTTTTCATGTTAAAGAAGAATAAAGAAAATTCTTATTATGCATAATAAAAGTATTTGTCAAAATAGAAATATAGCCGGGGATGAGCAAGAAAGGCAATTGGTAGCATTGACAAAAAAGAAAGAAAGAAAGAAAGAAAGAAAGAAAGAAATAAGCAGTAATTCTAGCAACAAAATTTTAAAGAAGCAACACACATAAAACATCTTGCTTATAAAACGAAAACGATTTATTGTTTTGTATAAATTTCGTCATCTCGAAATTAAATACAATCTTTGCATAAAATTAAATTGCCATCTTGATAAAAACTTTCTTCGGCAATGCATTTCTAAACAAGAACGACAATGTCAAGCAAAAACAAGAATACGAATTTGTTACCTGGCATTTTGAACATGTAAAACATTCTTTATGCCAATATTTATCTTCAAATTCAAGATATTCAACATCAGCTACAATAGCTTTTTGACAGCGACTGCATCGTTTAGCATGTTTATCTTCATAACAGTTCACACAGCATGGTTGACCATCTACCATAGAGATTTTCGATTGAGCCGATATTGGTTGTTTACATGTTACGCCTAGAACAACAGCATATTATTATTATTATTATTGTTATTATTACTATCAGTCTTAAAACAAAAATAATATGATTATATGAAAGAAAAATAATATTTTCTATGGTTTCGATTACGATCAATTAATTTTCTTTTTAACGAATACATACATAAGAAACAGGCTGCATGGTAAGATGCGCCTGCAAATGTAATACCAGCTGAAGTTATCAATGAACCACATTTACCGCAACGTTTACGTGGAAAACGTGCTTCGTGACAGGCCGAACATAAATATTGACTATTAAATGGATAGAATTGTGATGTTATTGGTTTATGACAATCAGCACAAGCAAAACAATCCGGCTATAATATAAATAACAGATTTTATATTCGTCTTTTTTTTCAATTGAAAATATATACATGAAATTGTTTTCCATCGAATTCAGTGATGCCTACAGAAAATTAGAAGTAAAAGATTTCAATAAGAATATATCAAGAAAAAACGTCAACTCACGAGATCCAGCTGGAAATGGTTTTTGACAACCTGAACAGGTACTAAAAAATAAAATAATACATTAGTTTTAAATATGTCGTTATCGGAGATTATTTTTTATAATTGTACTCGTCAACTTTCCAGGGATACTCAGTTTAATAGATTATTGGTTTCTTGAAACACTTATTCATAAGAGTGCATATCGGAATACTATCTATCTTAGCCTTTTATAGTTCTATATATATATATATATATATATTGCCTATCGTCATCGCTACCGAACAAGTAATCAATAGAATGTTATCGATACTATTGCAAGCTGTGGTAATGAATATGTCTCACTCAGTGACATATGGAGTCTAATGATTTCTTCTCATGACTTGATGTAATAGTTAGTTTCTGGAAAAACATTTCTATACATCTCTTTGGATGTACTAATTCAATGTGACTTACCTCATGTCGTTTTATATTTGTGTGAAGATATTGATATTGGTAATAAAACTTGAGAGAAAACGAAAAAAGAAAAACGACAAATTAATATATATGTATGTATGTATATCAAAACAATTTCTATAATGCGAATAGCTTTTCAAGCGAACTAATTAAACCGAAAAATTGTGGTAAAAAACTGAGGATTTCTTGGAGATCTAACTGGAAGTATTTCTTCGTCTATAGTGAAAGCCCAATAATATAAAACAAGAGGAAGACAAGCGAACAGTTGATGTAAAAGAAAACAATCCTAGCTGGATATCATCGATATCCTACTTAATTTACGTTATTTTGGCTAGAAAAAGACTGCAGTCAACATGTGGTGCAGTTAACTGTCGTCATTATTCTTCTTCTCTTTACTAGCTATAGCAATCTCATTCGGGTTTGCAACAACGATATATTTATTCTCTCTCGCTTTTAGATTTTTGCACAGATTATCAATATGCAGCAGAAGTATAAGCATATTTTTCTGTCTTGTTTTTATTGCTGTATTCTGGTATTTTCTTTCTTTTCTAAGTAACGAACACGACGATGGCCGATAAAGCTACCAGTAGTCGTATCTTCTCCTTATTCTCTTTGTACTATGTTCGCTCTCGACTGCATTACCAAACTAGCGCGATGCTGTATATAGGAGAACCTGCAATTTTTGTTCGACACTAGTAACCAGAATGCCGAGCTTGTGTTCTCTTTCTGTTTCGTACAACTTTGTCTAAAAATTATTTTTGCTTTTCTTCTGATTTCTTTTTTTGGCAGATATTAGGATTTATCTTACTGCGACAATATCCTGATTTTTCCACTATGAATTCAATCGTTGTTTTTGATGTTATCAAAATCAATGGAGAATTATTTTTCTCATAAATTCTACTCGACACCTATTCAATAGATTTGGCATGTAGAAATGCCTTTGACTTTTCCCCTCCCTGCATAGGTCATATGCGATACCTGTTAAAATAAATTAGACGAAAAAAACACTCAATAATCGATTTAGCTGTGCATATAAAAAAAAAACAATTCTTGAAGAAGGACTGTATTGAAAAAGGTTATAAACAGATCAAATATCTAATTGAAAATTGAACACAATGCGAATCACTTTTCTTTATTTTTTTTTGCTTGGCTAATATCAATCAATAAGATCTGTTAAATGATGATAGATAAAGTGTATCTCGCTTCATAGATGCTAATCATAATCGATTAGTTTCTATCGTCTATAAAGTTATGTTCACTTTTCTATCATCGTAATCATTCAATAACACAGAATCCATCAGATGATATAATACAGATGGAATAAGTAAGTGGGGAGCATAAAAAAAAAGTTCATTATATAATTATAATCCAAAGGTGAATAGTATTGAGTTTATAAAATGCTCGAAGCATAAACACTTACTATACTAGTCTTCTACATAGAGAATATCTTACTTTGCCTGTTAATATTAGGAGATTTCTTAGTATACCAAACGGACAAAAGAATATCGGAATGTTGAGTTAGACTATAAATCAAATTATTCTATTCTTATACGTCAAATATTATCTTCCAGAACTGCCATCAACAACAATAGATAAAAATATTGGAGACGTAAATACATAAATATGGAGATGAAACATCAATATATAAAGAGGAAAACAAGATAATCTCCGGTAAGGTCTCACGACTAGACATTCGATCGAATTTTCACATAGAGTAACTCTTTCCTGGAGATTTATTTGTAATGCGATATGTATAAGTAGTCAACTAAAATATTACAAGATGACAAATTGAATAACGCATTATGTATGTTATATTTCAATGCTAAAAGAGTGACGAAATATTTTCGTAGCAGCTTATTCCTTTAATCATAAATCCAATAGGAAAATATAAAAGGACTTCTGTGAAATGAATACTGTTAGTAAACTTACGCTATATTGCCTTCTGAATTCATCCGTGAGCAACAAGTCACAGTTCGTAATAAATCACCAAACGCTCGAAGAATGACAGAAGACATTTGAAATTTTTTATTTATGTTTAACGATCATTAATCGCAATCCACGCCCTAGAGTAACATCATGATAAAATAAAGTGAATCCCAAATCGAATACAATCTTACTTTTCCGCTGTTTCACATACTTTACAAGAGTGTGCTTGTGTGATGCGTGACTGATATGAAGAAGAGTAATAAAAGAGAAAACTATGTACATATATATCGACATTAGTCGACCTGGTAAGGAGACAGTCAGATAAATAAAAGGGATTTAACAACATATAATCTGTACTAATACACAATATGATGAAGATGATGATGTATATATATATATGAGAGTTATCTACTAATCTTGGAAAAACAAGATATACAAGAAAATTAGTAGCATATAAAAGATAGTAAATATGATTCTCGTTGATACTTAAACTTTTCTTAAACATAATGAAAGCTATTATATTTTAGAATACCTATGTATATATATATATATATATATATATATGAATCTTTCACTAGATGACGCTAGGTGATATCTATTCCACAAGGAAAAATTCACTGAAAATCAACCAATAAAAATTTAATGTCAATTGCCCGACATGTGTTTATTTGTGTGCTCGTTCGCTCGTATGTCCGTTTGTGTATAGCCATTGAATCTTTTTTTTCCTTCTATATCGTCATCTTTTTCAATTTAATACTTTTTAGAATGAGCCTCGATGTAAATATAACATGCTCGATTTTGATGGATTTTACTTAATTTGAAATCTGTTCTTTTTTAATAATTCAATATCACTCACTTTAAATGATGATCAACGCTCAGATTTTTGTTTATTTTTTTCTTATCTTGCAATTTTTAATATTATCCTTAATTAATGCAACAACAATTCATGAAATTAATGAAGCAATATTTCTCGATCCACGTACACAATCAGCACTAATATATTGCCCATTAGATGCTACATATACTGCCGATATACAATGGTACGATGTGGTCAATCGTCGTTATGAATTAGAACATGGACGTTACTATCGTATTAATGGTTCACATCCATTTGATCGAGAATTTATTTGTTCAGCTGTCTCACAGCCAGGAAGTGAAACTTATGAAAAGTATCGAATTAAAATTCGTACATATGGTAAGACGACAATAGATAATACATTCAAGAAAAAAAAAGAAGTTCTCACATCATTTTTCTATAAGAATTCTGCGACAAATGTAATTACCATGACAAACGAATAGATTAGTACAATAAGGTCAAGAGTCCTAGAAATAAAAATGTCATGGTTCAAAAGAAAAAAAAAGAAGTACTTGTATAATATAAAGGGACATGCAATATTAGTGTAAATACCCGGAAGCTGTTAGCGTAATCCTTCTGGGATTAAATATATAAAATACGATGCATCTGGTGTTATTAACAGTAGGGAGTTTGTTGTATTCGATCACAATGTTCTCTACGACCATGTCACTTAATCTTTCATAATAGTCTAAATTGTTCGTTCTATGATTTGAATCTATTTTAGACCGTCCACTAAATGTACGACAAGCTTTTATTCGAAATATAACTAATACCAGTATAACTATTGATTGGGAAGACGATAGTTATAATCAAAATGCCAATATATCCTATTATGAATTAGTTTTAAAGTATGTGATGAAAAATCTTATCAGAGAAATAACAATTTCCTATTTTTTTCTCTTTAGATGTAATAATACAATACAATATCGAACATTAATCAATGGTTCATTGGCAAGCTACACATTTCCTTCGCTATTTCCAAATACAATTTATTCAATTGACATATCAGCAGTCGACACATGGAAACGTTATAGTGGTAGTATAACTATCAATGGTACAACATTATCATCAACGAATTCTAATGAATTTAAAAAGTCCTATCAATTCGTTGATCATAACTTAATTGATCAATCAGTATCATGTTATCGACTTGACAATCAATTGTTATTAATTGAATTTAATAATTCACAATTACTATCCGTACAACGCATTTATAATGTAACAATTTATGACTATCAAGATTATGTAGCATATACAGATAATCATTATAATCAACAATATTATTTAACAACAAAAACATTAAATTCATTTATTTATCGTTTAAAACGTAAAAGTTTAACGTTTAAAATAAAATTTATTTTTTCAACAAATCAATTAGAATATGTTGAAACGATCGTTAAATATTGTGATGATTTTTATCCGATCTATTCGCCATTAACTTGTTCAATAAAATCAACCGGCGTCAATAATCATCATTTAATGATACACATGCAATTATATAATAATGATAAACAAATTAATTCGCTTAAGCCCTATAATGTTTTTTATAAAACAAGTCGAACACATTTTACTAAAAGGAATATTTATGATATTCAAAAAGTAAGTTTTTCTCTTCGAAGAACAGCAACATATTGTATCGATAAAAGACTGATGTCTTAAAAGTGTTTATTTCACTTAGTAAAGCGATCAATGTTTTATGTTTATAGAGGCTTTGTTAATGGCAAATTTGTTCATATAAAAAATATTACAAGATAGTTTAATTCTTTTGCGCTTATAGCGTTCATATAGCCAAATTGATGTTTAGTCGAGCATGGTAATAGCTTATACGGATGTTGATTAAGGCGATGATATGAGAAAAACTTAGATGAAATCATCGAACTATGGACAAAAAATTGAATAGCATGATAATTCAATTTTCGCTTTTGTATTGTTTCTGGATTATAACGGGTCTAATCGAGAGAATCTCGCTTTTTCTATAAAAATCGATAAGATGAATATCCCTATCAGTCTCTAAATCTTCTATACGTGCTCTTTTGCATGCGCCTCCGATGACCATTGACATCACTGTATGAACCAATTAAGTCGACATTCAACGAAAAGGTTTTAGTCTTTCTTGCTTGAGTTAGAACATTTCGGAAAATAATAAAATTCTATTTTTAGTATGTCAGTGTAAATGTCATTGATGTAAAAGATAATTATTCGGTTATCGTGGAAAATAATCTCATTGGTAGTAATTCCAATGAAAAAATCAATATTTCAATTCTATGTCCAATTACTCGAATAGGTTTGAATTTGTTGTTTTACTTTTATGTTCATAATTAAAACTATTTATTTTTAGCAGCTATCTCTCGAGTAAATGCGAAGCGTGAAAATCGAATATTATTTGGTATTGTCGCCGGTCTTGTTTTATCGATTATTAGTCTTATTGCATTGGCATTTTTTATTGCCTATCGAAAGTAAGAAGAAGAGTTTTGATTTTATTTGACAAAAATTTTGTTTCGCAGAGGATTAATGCCGGATTGTCGTCGAATGATACTTCATTATGCATATTTAATTCGTAAAAAGCATCATCCAAGATCAAACCTTGTCCAAGCAAATGGTTCTATCGATGGTAATGCTAGTAATGCAAATAGTGTCAATTATTTCGATGCGAATTATAGTAAGTTAACTATTTGTTTATGGTTTTATTTGAGATTTTTGTTATATAGAAGACTTTGACTCAACATCAATACCAATCAATCAATTTACTGGTTATGTAGGTCGAATGCATAAAGATGGAGATTTTGGTTTTGTTCGACTATTCGAAGTTCGTATTTGTTCATCGACCGAAAAATAAAAATTGTAATATCGACTATATATTTGTTTTTAATAGGATGTTTGTGAAGTATCGAAAACTTATACATTTCCTGCTGATGTTTCACAATTGGAATATAATAAAGCCAAGAATCGTTATACAAATATTTTAACATGTATATATTTGAAATTAACAAAATGGAATTGAATGTAGGATTATCTGTATTTTAGATGATCATTCACGTGTTAAATTATCAAGTGACGATCGAGATGGTCGAGGAAATTATATTAATGCGAATTATGTCGATGTAAATATAGGATGATTTGTGCAAAGCTGTTAGAATAATCTGTTTATTTAGGGGCATCATAAAGCTAATGCTTATATAGCAACACAAGGACCTATGCCGAATACAATCAATGATTTTTGGTAAAAATATTATTTTCTTGTTGAACATAGAATTTATTTAAATTATAATAGGAGAATGATATGGGAAAAAGATGTTAGTGTATTAGTCATGATTACAAATATAAAAGAACGTGGACGAGTAAGTTTAGTGGATAGAATATTCTGATGAAACATTTGAAATTTTTAGGTAAAATGTGATTTATATTGGCCACAAGAAGGTAGCGAAACTTATGGTAATATTCAAGTCACATTAGTTAGCACAATTTCCTATGCTTATTATGTGAAAAGAATATTTGCAATTCGATCGAAAAATAATAGAAAGGTAATTTTGTTCGTTTGCGTGACAAATTTTAATAGTCATTTTTATTTTTATAGCGTATTGCTTTTGAACGTCTTGTTCATCATTTTCATTATACCGATTGGCCTGATCATGGTGTACCATTATTTACATTACCTGTTCTTTCATTCATCCGTCGTTCATCAGCCTGTAATCCTGAAACAGGTGGTCCTATTGTTGTTCATTGTTCAGCTGGTGTTGGTCGTACAGGAACATATATTGTTGTTGATACAATGTTAAAAAAGATTCGCGAACAACATTCATTAAATATTCCATCGTTTTTAAAACATATTCGACAACAACGCAATTTTCTTGTTCAAACCGAAGAACAATTCATATTTATCTATGATGTTCTTCTAGAAGCAATTCAATTATTAAATATTGGTTATAATGATTTAGAATTAACAGAACATAATTTTGATTATATTATACAAATGTTAGATTATTTTGATAAAGATTCAAATTTAACACGTTTAGATAAACAATTTCAATTAGTAACCTTGCAAAATAAAGTCAATGATTTTCAATTATCATTTGGGCAAATGGATGAAAATTTATCTAAAAATCGTACACAAGCAATTCTACCTTATAACCCATGTCGAGTGATACTATCGACTGAAAGAAAACAATCCGATGTTGAATATATTAATGGAACATATATGCATGTAAGTATTGCAATGCGGATGGACATCGGTTGTCTTACTCATTGTATTTCGATTTTCATATGTTTAGGGTTGTCATCGTGTTGATGAATTTATAGTTACTCAACATCCTATGATGAACACGATAACGGACTTTTGGCAAATGATTTGGAATACAAATGCAAGCATCATCGTTTCTCTATATGCTGATGAAAAATCTCAAGTATGCATTTTGCATAATTACCAATAAAATCAAAAGTATAGAAAATAATACTTTTTTTCTTTTTGAAAGGCTGATGTACCTGATTTTTGGCCATTACCAAATCAAATAATGGATTGTGGAAGTTTTAGTGTTTCTTTAATTGATGAACGTTTCGAATGTGAATATATCCATCGAGATTTTTTACTTCAATCAACTGAGGTTCGTACAAAAAAAAATCTAGAAATTAAAATTCTTGTTTTTTCTCTTTAACAGGAGGATTATGAATTACGGGTTAAAATTGTTTCAAGTACCTATTGGCCAGATGCTTGTTCACCTCTGAAAGCATCATTTAATCTTATAAATACAATACGAAAATTACGAATGAACATAAAATCGAATGGTCCAATTGTTGTTCATGATCTGTTCGGTGGTCATCGAGCTGGTTAGTTTTTTTTCTCTTCAATTCTTCACTATATTTATCTATGATCTTTTAGCTACTTTTTGTGCTTTGTATACAATGACTGAACAAATGGAACTTGAAGGTATATTGAACATCTATGAATTAGCTAAACTCTATCATATCAAACGTTCTGGCATATGGCGACATAATGTAAGAAAACAACACTTCATCTTTTCAATAAACATTTACTGTTTTTTCTCTCTCTATCGTTTATTAAAGGGTGATCTATTCTTTCTGTATCGTTGTGCGGAAGTGCTTTTTCGTGAAATAAAATTACCAACAGCCTATAATCAAAATCAATCCTCAAGTTATCATCGTCGCTATTTACCTCATCAATATATCGCCTCTCAACGTGTTGAAGAACCTGTTTCTTTGGAATCCTACACATCTACATCTATTCAACCTATACCTGCACCCTCAACATCAGCTTTTGCTAATGTTGCTCAAACTTTTATGGATTCATTTTCTAAACGACGTCAAAAATCACGTAGTTATCGCTCACAAGCATTGAAAAAAATTCTTTTTCTGAATAATGAATCACCACTTTAATGGTCGCTAACGATCTAATAGGAAAAAAAAGAAAGTTTTTTGTGTATATTTTTTATGTAATTAGAATAGACGTTTGATGTTCTTTTTTTTAACAGTGTGTTCATTATTGGTATGTTCGTTTTGTTTTTTTAGCGGTATGATATAATAATTGCTTTGTTTTTCAGTGTCAGATATATGCTATTGCTAGAGGGTTGTGTTTAATTTGTTGTAATATGTTTAACATTTTATTTCTTGACGTTGTATGTCAGTAAAAACAAATAAAGAAATTTACTCTGAATTTAATATATACAAATGAAACTAATAAGAGAAAAATTTTATTTTAGTCTATAATAAGACTTAAACATGAAAATTTGTCATATAACTCTAATGAGTGTGTACTTTAAAAATATACAAGAATTAAAGTAATTGATTTGAAATCGTTACGGTATCTTAAATATGATTGATATCACTATTTAAAGTATTAGTACTATAATGATATTTACCAAGAGATTGAGTTCAGAGTTACAGATCTAGATGATCAATATTAGTTGGATTTTAGCCAAAAACATAATTCTAAAATCATTACAACATTTAGTGTGAATATCATCAAGAAATCTTCGAAATATTATTCAGAACAAGGCGTGCTACTTTATCTTTACGTTGTAAAAATAAACATCAGATGAAGAATTCAGGTCGATAAATCCCACATCGAATCCGATAAGATCCTACTGCATGTGAGTCGGATCGGATGGGTTCCGATTGGTTCCCACTGTTGGATTGCTCGACCTGGGAATTAAAGAAATCGGTAAATCCCAAGTAGATCAATAGGATTTCATCTCAGCAATATCACTTCACCATGTGGTATGATTGCAAACAGAACCTGATTTCATAAAACAGTAGGTTCTCAAAGCTCTGCTATCTGTTTACGATATTATAGTAAATCTTCGGATTTTTTTCAAATTTTTCATTCACAGTCTCAAACATACACTGTTTAATGTTAGCAATTGCAACACATCGCAACTGAAGTAAAACGTACCTAAATGTTTTATATGCGAGAAAAATAAAGACAATTGATATACATGCGAGGGTTACTCAAAACAATTTTGTGTTACAGATTTACCAAAACATCACCAAGAACATGTATTAGAACTAGAACAAAAAATTAAGCAAAGAGCAGAAGATTGTCGCCAAACATTATTTCAATCGAAAGATGAGAATATTATTGAAATGAACAGGAAATTAAACCAATTCATTGCTGACTTGAAAAAAATGCGAGCAGATGATGATTTCAATGAAATTCATTTAAATCGTTTATAAACAAAATATCAATTACAAACAAAGCTTCAGTTTTAGGTTAGTGTGACAAATTAATCTGTCTTATGACAAAGTGATAACGGTGAAATGAGCGGCCACGGTGGTGGGTGTGCAGCAGATTGTGTTGGATACAGAGTTTCACCCTCTATCGAACCATCGCGGTTCCGATGGAGAGAGCCCACAAAAATCGAGATGTGGGAGTTATCATCCCTCCATTAAACAACAAATTTTCATTTTTCTCCAGCGAAAATATCACATTTCTTTTGCTTCTTACTTTCTTTTTAACAAGATTTTCTTCAACATCCTTCGAGAAAAATAAGTTTGGATTCCGTGTACATGCGGGAGTGGGAATGAGTGAGGGTCTGCAGTGATAATGGGTACGATATAATACTTTTTGGAAGAATTGACTTTTCATTAGCACACTAAAGATACTCATCAATACTCACAACCACACCCTCTATATTCCTATTCTTCTATCATTTTCTCTGGCTTCAATATTTTAGTATCGAAACCAGCATTCATTCCACTACGTAGCTGTTCAGTAGACATTCATTCAAATGCTCAATGGAAACAGGATGGTCTCACTGTAGCTGGAGGGAATGGACAGGGTAATAGAATGAATCAACTCTTGAATCCATGAGGTTTATATGTTGATGATGATCAAACTGCCTATGTCGCTGATGCAGCAAATCACCGTGTTGTGAAATGGAAGTCAAGTGCGACGAGTGGTGAAGTAGGTACTAGTGGAAATGGATACCGGAGAGGGGCTCTTCAATTGCCTCGCTCATTTGATGTGATTGTCGACAAAGAGAGAGAGATAGTCTCATTATCTGCGATTATACAAGTAGAAGTATGGTTTGATGGCCTTTTAAAAACGGAACAAGCAGAGAAACTATCATCTGGGACGCCAATTGTACCGGTTTGGCAATGAACAAGAACGGATCTCTCTATGTTGTTAACAATGGAAATGTTGAAGCGAGACGATATCCAAGAGGAGAATCTCAAGGAACAGTGGTTGCAGGTGGTAACGGACGTGGAAATCATCGTGTGATGAAATGGATGGAAGGTGAAAGACAAGGCATTGCCATGACTGGTGGCCAAGAACAAGGAAATGGTCTTACACAATTGTCATATCGTGAAGGAGTCGTTGTCGATCAACTGGGCACTGTGTATGTAGCTGACTCAATGAATCATCGAATTGTGCGTTGGCCAAAAGGAGCCACACAGGGAAGTGTCATTGTTGGTGGAAAGGTTGAAGGAGGAGAATCGAATCAACTCTACGCGTCAGTCGGTTAATCATTTGATCAATACAGTAATCTCTATGTCGTTGACAACGGAAAACGTCAAGTACAAAAATTCAATATTGATCCAAATCCATAAACTAACCTATCAAATATACTCTGTATTGAAACTTTTATCGTTTCTATTTTGTAACTGAATCTTGTATAATAATACTAATAAACTGTGCAATCATAAATCCAAATAACCTAAGCCTAAGATATCAAGCAAACTTGCATTCCAACATAAACTCCATCCGTGAGAAAATAGATAGTTGACGGATGACACGCCAATATAACAGTCGCCATCCGGTTCGGTATATACGATTTGAACCTATACTAGGAAATATATATGCAAACATGTGAATCAACGAAACTAAACCATTTTATAAATGCGTACGATCCCTTCCCGTACACTATACTGATGCATAAACCAACCCGTCAAAGCTTCACTGTACATTTATTTTTATTTTTGTTTTAAAATAAAGAAATATACACATGATTGATGAAGTAGTTTATCTCATACTTGGTCTATTCAATTACATTTCATCAAACAACGTTAATTGCGAGGAAGAATCGATCTTAGCCATGAGTCTCTTTAGAATTCGAACATGACCTTAGAAAAAGATTGAAAACAGGTATCCATAAAGGTATGACATCTATAGTTGAATTTATTGATCGAAAAATATAATTTGTATGATAAAAATATCTTTTGAATATTGATTCATTTTTATTAAATAACTTATTTTTCTTCATCTCATTGCTTCCCATCCATTGAATACCATTAAAAATGTCCACCTGCATATATACATATATTTTTTTCTCTTTCAAAAAGCATATATATATATATACATACATATGCCTCATCTTTCTCTCTCTAGAGTAATCTTTTTAACCGTCCATCCGTAATCAATCACTTAAATTTGACGCTTGTTATCAATCAGTGTCATCAAGCATAGTTTTTTTTTCATTTTCACATCGATTGAAATTTAAACATCAGGTAAAATCATTTTTGTTTTCTTCTTTGCTAATCAATTGCTATGGATATGTATTAGTTTTATACAAAATGACAACAACAGAAGATGAAGATCCATATATTCAAATAGCTAAATTACATTCAGCTAATTTACAAGCAGCCGAATATGGTCTCGCCTTAATTGATGAAAAGAAAGTTTTAGAATTACAACACAAAGAATTAGAAAATGAGCATGAATTACTTAAATTAGAATTTGAACAATTGAAAACTCAATTAAAAACATTACAAGTTAATAAGCGTGAAGCAACATTGAAAGGTGAAACGAATGAAGAAACATTATTACATGAAAAACTAGCCCGTGAGAAATATCTAACGGAAGAGATTGTTCGTCATGAACATGAATTACGTTTATTAAAACATGACAATGAACGGTTGCATACAGAAAATGAAAAGTTTTCCGTAAATTGTCAAGAACTAACTGAACGTATTCATGAGTTCGATGAATTAAAAGTCAAATTAAAGTACGAATTAAAAGAAACTAAAGCACAAGAACAACGACTTATCGATGCCAATACTGAGTTGGAAGAAGATAATGTTGCATTACAACAACAAGTACAAAAATTAAGAGAAAATCTTGTTGATTTCGATGGATTAAAACATGAAAATAAACAATTGCAAGAAAATGTAAGTTAAATCAGTAGAAAAAATGCTTATATTTAATCATGTATCAATATAGATCGATGATCTACATCGTATGATGAAAGAACTTGAATCTCTAAAAGCAATAGCTGAATCTCAATTAATTGAATTACACAATAGTCTTCGTGATGAACGTGAACAAAAACACATCTATAAACAACAATTAGATCATCGAATTCAACAAGTAATTCATAAATCAATTTTTGTTTTTATTCTATTTGCCTCCTGTTTTTTTTTTCTATGAAAGGAATCTCGTCGAAATCTAGATTCATTACGTATGACATTGAATGGCCACAGTAGTACACATACGGATGATGATTATCTAATTGAGGGTGACGATGATATTGAAGATGATGACACAAGTCGTGTTCCATCGTCAACGGAATACAGTGATACGTTTGAAAACGATCAACAAGAACAACAACCTGTTGGAAATCTATTTAGTGAAATTCACGGAAATGAAATCCGTAAACTTGAACTTGAATGTTTACAATTATCGCAGATAAAATCATCACTCGATAATCAATTGTTAACTATAAATGAGAAAACGAAAATTCTTTCGCATAAAATTCAACATCTTATGGATATTGTAATACCAAATAAACAACTGTCAACAGAATCTAATTCCGATGATACTGATAATCTATTGGTAAAAGCCTTGGAATCCATTGAACAAATCGATTCAATTGTGCATAAAAATCTTCATCTATTTAATGGTGATCAAGATTTATTGAAAAAAAAATCCGATGAACAAGAAAACTTTATTATTAAATTAAAACAAGACAATAATATTCTCATGAAACAGTGCAATGATTCTCAAACACTCTTTAGTAAAACTCATGATAATTTAGTAAGAAATTTTCAAAATGAAAAATTTTCTCTTTCGAAATATCGCTTTTTTTTCTTCTGCGCTATTCTTTAGATGGCTTTAAGCGAAGAATTAGAAACGCTTCACAAATATATTTATACATCGAATGGTTTATCTACATCAATGAATGATTTTGAAATACGAAAACAACAATTATTAAATTCAAATAATAAAATTATTGATCCATTGATAAATCAACAACTATTAGAAATTCTTCAAGAACAAGTGAAACAACTCAAACAATCATTTGATCATATTTTATCTAAGACAAAACAACAGTCCAGAGATCAATCATCGAATATTGAAAATATACCGCCAACTAATGAACTACCGAACGATACCAAAGAATTACAAGATCAAGTAAGAATATTCTCTATAGGAATTAGATTAATTGCATCAAAATATTTTTTCTCTCTATTTAGATAATCAAAATACGTTCATTATTAACTACGAAACGTGAACAAATTGGTACATTACGTACGGTCCTTAAAGCTAATAAACAAACAGCAGAAGTTGCATTAGCTAATTTGAAATCGAAATATGAAAATGAGAAATTAATTGTTACTGAAACAATGTCAAAATTACGTAATGAATTAAAATCATTAAAAGAAGATGCAGCAACATTTGCATCATTACGTGCTATGTTTGCTGCACGTTGTGATGAATATGTTACACAATTAGATGAACTACAACGGCAAGTTCATGCTGCTGAAGAAGAAAAAAAAACTCTCAATTCTTTACTTCGTATGGCTATTGAACAAAAACTTGCTCTAACACAAAAACTCGAAGATCTTGAAATGGACAATGAACGAGCACATACGACTGTTAGTGTTTCAAAACGTTCAAATAATCTCAATAATAATCCATCATCGGCAACAGCAACATCGCCTGTTTCATCGGGACCAACACTTGGATTATCAACAACAGCTTCAATTAATAATACAAATATAAATCACAATATTAGTAACAATGGACCCATACAGGAACTCAGACGAGGAAGATTTATACCGCCTAGAGTAAGTTTTATAATTTATATATCAGTTATTTCAATAAAATTGAGTATCAAAGCAACTTATTTTCATCGTCTAATATATTATATACATATTTCAGATGATGCAAGCTCTTGCATCAAGCAGAAATCAACAACTACAAAACAAACGATAGAGAAATATTCAGTACGAAAAGCAAAACAAAAAAAAAATACACGATGTTCAGTTTTCTAATGTTGCTATGATTAATTAACATTGATAAGCACCTATAACGAATGATGCATGGTTTTTTGTTCGGATAATAAGTTTTGTTTTAAAAAAAAAAGCAACATTGCACATAGATAAAACATTAAACAAACCTATCGCATGATGAACACTGTGTGTGTGTGTTTAATATTCATTAAGTTTAAACGAACAATTTAATATACGAATTCATATTTTAGGTTCGTCAACAAAAATCATTTCCTAATACAAGTCCACAAACACCAACCTCATCGAAATGGGGTCACTAAATTGTATTGTAATTGTTTGTATAAATCAAAAACAGAACACAGCTACGTGCTGCATTGTTACTTTTCTTTTCTCGTTTTTACGTGATACAGTTTTTTTTACATACGTGTATAGGCTCATATCCTGGATCATTCCGTTGCTGTATCTTATGTTAATTTTATCCTGTTGATAGTTGTTTTGCTAGTAGTTGTTCATTTTGCTATTCTTGCATTCCATCCTCAGTTTATTACTACAAAAGATCTGTTTTTATAGCTTTTTCTATACCTTTAAGTTTATGGTTAGCGCACATTCGAAATGTTATTTGTTTTCTTTTTTAAACTATATGCACGTTTGTATGAGATTGGTTTTTTGTTTTGCTTTTTGTTAAATGCATACCCTGCATATATATTTTACTATGAAAAGAAAAAAAGTGACATTCTGGTAGACGCATGCATGATGTTCGGACTTTTTTCTTTCTTTCTTATTACGGTTTTGTTTTATAAATATATGCATTTGGAGAATTTAACTGCCTTTGCAATGATGTCGCTAGTGAAAAAGAAATCTATTTTTATTAAGTAACACTAAAGTTTTGTTCCCGTTGAATATTTAAAATAATTTAACCGACAGATTGCATGTCAAAAAAATCAGTTGAAGAACGGTTCATTATGCAATGATCCACATGCTTTCATTTTTCGAAAATCATGCTGATGATGAATGATTATGCTCGAATATCTTTCCGGTAGAATTCATGCGGCTCTTTCATGGTCTTCTTTTTTTCATGGAAGTGATGTGTTCATGATTTTAGTTTACAATTAACTCTCAAATTTCATCATTTGTCAAATTTTATTTTCTTCATATGTCACGTCCGCGCATTAAAGAGAAAAATAAATCATTGGAATGTTTTTTTTTTCTTACAGAAAAATACAGATTTTTGTGTTTATATGATATGATCTGTGTTCCAATCGATTAAAATAGACATTGTTTTTTTATTTAAACTGTACAGAGTAAATCATCATCTATTCAGTATACTGCAATAAGAAAATTCTCTTTAAATACCATTTAGAACATCTACAAATACATTTTTTAATCTATCATAAGGACAATTGATTTTGGATGTAGACATCATTGTTTGTACTATTACGTTCTTCTACTTGTTGAAAAGCGTCAATAGAAATCAATTAGAGAGCAAAAAAAGAGTTGTTCGATTCAATTTATTAATTTTCTTTTCGTGTTATTTACGTTCAAATCATATACAATTATCATTCTATGACAATCATAGTGGTTTTCCTGTCATTCTCAGCATGTATCTATATAAGCTATAGAGATAAGCATCAACAACCTACGAGCAAGAGGGAATAAAATCAATCAAGCGACAATAGAAAATTGAACAGCAAGCAAATGGCACCCCACGAGTGGACAACTGCTGTATATGTTGCCATTCAATATTTCGTTATCGGGATTAGTATATGACGCCTGATTGACTTCATTATCGTCTATCCACTTGTATAGATTCTTTTGTTTCAAATATCGTGCAAACGACGACAGATGGTCACGTGTACATACGTACGTACGTATGTACTCCCATTTCCTCTCATTCCGTTCTTTGTCTCACTTTTTCTGTTTTATCACACTCTTCACTGTTCATTTAACAAATTCACTATCCTATGCACATATAAAAGATTGAAATCGACTTCCTCTCTCTCTCTCTCTTGTTCGTTTTGATTGATCATCGAGTTCACAGGGCGCGTCGGTCTTCAAAAGAAGCTTTGTCGCGTGTCGCCACTCATCAATTGAACAAAAACATGCACATGACGCTCTCGTGAAAAACACTATGATGAGGGAAATTGTACCAGCTGTTGTTCTTCTAAGCATGTCTCGTCTTAATTACCTTATGTCTCTACCTTCAATCTGACGCGCGCCATCGACTTTCGAAGACGAAACACGTTCATAAAAGTACATACATATATGCGAATGTGTCTGCATGTCAATTGAAAAATACATACAAAATGGATAGTTTAACAGGGCACACCAGGACAACATGCCTCAGGAGTCTTAATACTGTTATCTGTTTCATTAACAATTCAACACTACGATATATAGGACAAAGAACGAACGCGACAATATGACACTGAATTATTGATAGCTATATGTGTGAGACTCTTGCATTGCTGATAGATGAAGAAGGGAAAAAATACAAATACAGATGGCATCTTTTCTTTTTTCCTTCTTCTTTTTCTTTCTATTCGACATCTGCCGAAGAGAAGTCATATCGTGCTGAGCATTCATTAATGTCATTTGTCAACTCGCTCTCGCTCTCGCTTTCTTGTTTCTATCCATTTTTTTCTTCTTCATTTTTATCTTGCTCTCCCTTTTCTGTTAATTGAGCGACGCGTGCTTGCTACCCTTCAGGAAAAAAAGAGAAGAAGAAGTCCAATCGTCGTAGCCGTGTCGCACGCGCATTTCCCGTTGAACAAACCCAACTCGCAACGTAATATGAGTAAAAAAGAAGATGAAGTAGAAGAACAGACGATGTTAGCGGGAAAAAGAAATGATGGAAAGAAAAAATCTTGCCAACGACGTCAATGGCTAGAAAAAAGAAGAAAAAGAAAAAGAAAAAGAAGCAACATCATCGACCAGAATCAGAAACATCGGAACGTTAATAGTGGTGGTAGCAATAGAAGTACGATTCGGTCTGTATCGGGCTCTGTTCTACCACCACTATGTTGGTCGGCAATAAGTTTAATGTGTCATCTTAAAAGTGACCATAACTTAAATAAAAATTGTCTCAATAGTCGATGGCAATGGTCAAAATCAACTAACAACATTAATACAACAACAATATTACTTGATAATAATAAACAAATATTATTTCATCCAAGAACAAGTTCATCAACACAAGTTATTCTTGCTGATCGACCATTGCCATCGAATGGAAAACATTATTGGGAAATCTATGTACCTGCTGTCTATGGAACATCAATTATGTTTGGCATTGCAAGTAAGTTTGATTGATTCTTGACAATAAGAATAATAGATAATATGCTGGTTAAAATAATTACTATCTGATATTTCCATTGTGTCTTTAGCAAACGAACAGCAAATGCTTTCATCGTCATTTACAAATCTAATTGGTATTGATCAACATGGTTGGGCATTATCGCATCACGGTTTATTATGGCATAATGGTATATCACGTTCGTATTTATCTCAACCAATGGAAACACTTCGACCGATTTTAGTAGGCCTAGAATTTGATGCCGATGTAAGAACACTTTCCTATACGATTAATAATCAATCTATGGGCATTGCGTTTCATTCTATACCAAAAGATAAATTGATTTATCCAGCTGTATCATCGACAAGTGCACAGAGTACAATGATGTTAAAGCATTGCTGTAAAATGTGTTCGTCTTTACGTGAACTTTGCTTGAAATTAATTAAATCATCTGATTTAAAAGAAAATATAAATAATCAATTGTTACCGCGACATCTTATTGAGCAATTGATTCTGTAAGAACAGTTTATTGTGTTGTTTGCACATGTTATTCATTGTACGTGAGATTTTAGTCTTTTTCTTTTTCTTTTTTTTTCTTCGTCTTCTTTTCTTATGGCCGAGGTCGAGAATGTGCAATGCTCAATGAGATGTACAAATCTAGCTTGAAACTTTTTGAAAACGTTCGTATTCTTCTTCTGCTGTTTTTCGTTTGACATTCCGTGCGAATAGACTTTTCTTTTGTGTTGTTTTACTCATTCCATAATGATCAAAAAAAAAAAAATTACTAGAACTATCATTATTTTCATTGATGTTGTTATTTGTGTCTTATTATTATGATTATTTATTTAAATTTCTTTTTTTCTTTTCTGTTTCTTCAAAAAAACAAACAAACGAGTGCCATCTAGTCAAATGAGATGTTCATGCACAACGTTCATTTCTGTACAAATTGTCTTGTGTTTGTCTTTGTGTTCTTTTTTCTTTCATTTTTTCATTGTATTAACGAGCCACATGAAAACAAAAGTATTTAAATAAATATACATATAACTATATTATCTTTTTAATTGTGTAATTAATAAACATACGCGATAGATTTTCGCATGACTAATAATTGATTGTTCGACAGGAGAGGCAAAAAAGAGACATTGACCCAAACAATAGGAGCAACATTTTTGTTTGATTGACAAGTCAACTGAATTCAATTTTGTAGGCTTTCAATAGATGAGTAAATTTATAGTGACACATCCGAACGTACAGAATAATAATGGAACACCGAAGCCGAGTGATGACTTTTTCGCTAAATTTTTGTCATCGAACAATCTACACTGATAATGAAATCCTAATTATGATTTCGAAATAAAGACAAGGTATTTGTTATAAAATATGTTTATCTATTAATATCGAACGTAGATAAATAAGGGTAAGTTCGTTGAAGTAATTGATTTTATGTTAAAATCACTGCTGGTTATTATATGCAGCAAAATCTTTTCTGTACCAAGAGATAGACCAAAAGTTTTTAAAAGCATGTATCTGTCTTCAAAATCTCACCTATTCAAAAGAAACTACTCAAATATGAATTCTTTTACGCTGCATTTTCTCTCTCGAAAGGCAGAGTTCTTTAAGAATCTAACTGCAAATACGAATTCAAAATCGATTAGATTCGAAATAAAATACTTCTTTCATTTCTAGACATACATCGCCTTTATTATTTTTTTGGTAAACACATTTGTTTTGTACTGGATATTTTTTAAATTCAGATTTATTATTATGGCATTAATCAACGAACTCAAGCCATATAATATAGACGCTAATGGTTCGACGTTAATATCTTCTGAAACGAAAAAAATAAAAATTGAGATGAAATCATTAGGATTCATTCCATCCATTCTGACTTATGGAATAAAGCAAAAAACAAATCTTTCATCAAAAAGTAAATCCATGGGAGTAGTTGTTTGGTTAACCGATAATGTTTTATTTGTGTAGATAAAGCGAACAGAGAAAAAAGCAGTTTAGTTTGCAGAATGAATCTATAAAGTATATGCTTAAAGCAATTAAAATCAAACTTACATTTTTATTGTTGTTAAACAACAGAAAACATTCTACTTCATTCTTTCAATAAAAGAAAAAAACGCAAGTCGACCATGCCAAGACTCAAGAGACGTCCGAATGTAAAACCCATTCCCGAGCAGGTTTTTTAAACAACGAGCAAGATTTTCTTTGTGATGGTATTGATCTGTTTTTCCTAGGATCCCAGTGCACTGCTTCGTGAGCATATGGTCAAAAATATCGATGCACACAATATGCTTGTTTCCGAATATGATGTTGTTAACCGACAAAGGCCATTGCCATTTTGGAAACGAGATCTTAAAATTCCTCAATGGCTTTTATTAGTGTTAGTGTCATTGACTATAGTTTTATTTACAGGTTTTATTTTATTTACTACCGTTGTTACATTGCAAAAACAAACGAATGGAGGTCCATGTAAATCGAATAGTGATTGTCGTCAGGATCTTGGTTTAATGTGTAATAATTATCGTTGTGGTTGTGCATATTCGCATTTTTGGAGTGATACATATGATATTTGTGAACGAAGACGAATGATCAATCGAACATGTGTTGATGATTCTATGTGCGACTCATTAGCAAATTTAGAGTGTGAAAATGTTACACTTTCGTAAACTAAACAAAATGATTTATTTTTCTAATTTTGATTCATTTTCGTGTGTTGTTTTCGTAGAAGTGGTGGTTACCAATTGCAATGTCAATGTCAAACTTCCATGTCTTGGAGTGGACATAGTGTTAAGTATATCACTGTGCAAAAAAACAATTTATTATAATCGATTTATTTTAATTTTAGTGTGTTTATCAACTTACAATTAACCAATCATGTACTCTTAATGCGAATTGTGATAGTAGCCGATTCCTATTTTGTGATGCTTCGATCGGAGGCTACTGCAATTGTAATGTATCGATGTTTTGGAATGGTGGGACTTTAAAGTCTGGTACATGTGAATATAAACGTACAGTAGGTGAATACTGTTATCCGTATAATCATAATTGGTGCGATGATACAGGTCCTATTGGTCAAGGCCTTACTTGCACTGCATATACAAATCCTTATGGAAGTGAATATGGTAGGTTGAATAGAAAATAGAAGTGAAATTTAAAAATATTTGTTTTTGTTAATTTAAAAATATAGGTGTATGTCAATGTTCTACAAATCAATATTATAATGGTACTGCTTCGTTAGCTAACGGATATTGTGTAAATCAACATCGATATAATGAATCATGTACATTAACATCTCAATGCGATTATCGAGTTAATTTAATATGTTCAAATAATCTTTGTACATGTCCATCAGGTACAAATTATGATTCTACAATGAGTATTAATGGTATTACAGGCTATTGTACAGCGGCTGAAGGTTATATGGATAATTGTACAGCTTCTTTGACATGTAGTTCATCACAAAGTCTTTATTGTGATTTTACATATTATGGTAACGTATCAGCGTCTGGCAAATGTCTATGCAATAGTTCATGGTCTTATTGGGATGGTACAACGTGCGCAAGTAAATTATCAATTGGTGGCGAATGTTCAAGCAATATCAATTGCATATCATCACTCGGTCTATTTTGTAGCAATTATACACAATCGATGGGGACATGCGATTGTGACAGTTCTCATTATTGGAATGGTACATGTTCACTTAAACTATGGTATAATGTATCGTGTACATCGTCATATGTTTGTGATGATAATCGCGGCTTACAATGTCAAGGTCTTGGTGGTATTATGTTTCAAAAATGCGATTGTTATAATACAAGTTATATTTGGGATTCATTGTACATTACTCGACAGGATAAATGCATGCTTAAACTAGGATATAATCAGTCGACCTGTCATGGTAATCTTGAATGTCAAGATTATAATTATTTAGTATGTAATGGTACTAAATGTGCCTGTCTTTATACGGCTTATTGGGATGGTACTGTATGTCAACCGAAACGAAATTATACAGATCCATGTTCGTTTACTTATCAATGTCGAGATTTTGGCCCGGTGAATCTAATCTGTATAATGGGCACAACAGTACCGCCAGTTTTGCAATGTCTTTGTAATGCGACTTCATTTTGGGATGATTGTCAACAAGCATGCGTTGTTTCTAAAAAGGTTAAAAAGAAAAACTTCAATCACCATTTGACAAGAAGAATTCAATTATCTTTTCCTTTTAGATTTATCAATCTTGTACACTTACTACGAACTGTTCAAGTAATGAATGTGATAAAGCAGCAAATTTACAATGTCTTAATACTAGCCTTTCATCTAACGCAGGATGGTGGTATGTATTGAAAGTACACTAATTTGTGAAAAATCATCGTTTTTTGTTTTAGCAATTGTACTAGTTTACAATGGTGGAATGGCTCTTATTGTCGTGACAAAGGCATACCAGCTTGGGGATCGAATTCGAGTGCCCTATGCAATTCATCATATCAATGTGCTGATTACAATTTAGTTTCCTGTCCTCTCGGGGCCAATTGGCCAAGTCTAAATTCAACTTGCGAATGTGCTACAACTAAGTATTGGGTATGTAGCAAAACAAATTTTTTGTTGAACTTTCATCAACTATCATTGAATATTTGCAGAATGGTGTGACGTGCCTAGATCGAGTTATGAACGGTCAGCCTTGTACATTATGGAATACTTCTGCAGTAAATACAAGTACTTGTTTAAATGCAGCTGGTGCTGGGCTACTTTGTAGTAGTAATAGTAGTTGTACTTCGGGAACTTGTACAGGCGGGACTTGCTATTGTCCTAGTGGTACGAGTTGGAATTCAACATTTCTTATATGTGTGAGCACGAGTTCTGGATAATTAATTTTTATGTGTTTTGTTTTTTAAAAGTTTGACTATCATCATCTAACACTTGCATGAAAAATAAATTTTGATAACATGTAAAAACAAACTATACGATGAATAATTCATGTTTATAAGAAAGAATTTGATAAGCAGTCAGTGGCAGCGAAGCCTCACTTGATTTCTACTGAAATTCAATCAAAAGAAGATTTATATTCTGCTTGATACTTTGAAAATTCGACTGAAGGAAAAAAATATTATGAACCTGACTTAACTCCATGACGTTCAGCCGCTTCTGTAAGCAATATAGGAATTGATACTTTATCGGATTTTCATTTAGGAGGACATCCTTGTGTTTAATCGTACTTATTATTTTGATCGAAAAATAACAAAATATGTAAGCATTGTTTAATGCCCTCTACTGTACGAATATTATGATTGGCTTAAATAGGTCATCGCTTTTCTCCAACTTGATTGAATGACGGTGGCTGTAGTGAAATATATATATAGACGGTTTCACGTACTGGTCAAATCGACGAGACAAAGAAGAAAAAAATACCAACATAGTTAAAGTTCTTCCATATACTTCTTTCAGTACATTTGTTACTATAAATGCGTATGCCACCTATCTAAATTTTGATTGATGAATATGTGTATGTTTTTTCTTGATTGTAGAAATATGAAAATGAATAAAAATAATATATTAATTTGGTTAAAAGAATTTAAATGCAATTGGTTACCTCAAAATGTTTCAAATGATAATTGTTTATTTCAATTGTTAACAAATAAAATTGATGAGCTTGAACAATTATTAATTCGTAAGTAATTAAAATTTTATTTTTTGTGCAGAAAATAAAAATGCAACGTTTATTTTTTCCTGTTTATCAAGATGAAAAGGATACATCAATTGCAGAGAGACATGAACGTGCGAATACAACAACTAGTGATATCAATCAAAGTTTTATTTCGACAGAGGAATCACACGAACCGTTCGTATTCATGACACCACCGAATAAACGTATTCAAATCGATGATGATGATGAAAAGAAAGAAAATCCTTCTCGGCCAAAGATCCGTATAAAACGAATTACTTTAGCTGAAGCTGAACTTTATTTACCAACTGCATGGATACTTGGTAAGAAAAAAAAGCCTTGTGTTTTTAAGAAAATCTTTTTTTTTGTTTTTAAGGTAAGGGAAAATCAAAACGTGGTCGAAAAAAAGATAAAAAGACAATTTCAACAATCGTCTTAAATGGAAACAAAGCTAAGAGAAATACCCAAACAAATAAATCAATTTTATCATCAATACCAGATACGGATATGTGTAAGTGTTGTTTTTTTCTCGTATTAAATTTGCATATAAGACAAGAAACCCTTCAATCATATTTATTTAATAAGCCATGTAAAGATATAGCTTTTAAGAAAATATCAGGACTCAGGCTTGTATAGAATACTTGAGATCTATTTTCTTGTTGAAACGGAAGGTAAATATGATAAACAAAAATGTAGTGACTGAAACTGTTCGTTGAATTTACAATTGATTATTATGCCGAAATTCGAATGGCAATTCAATTCAGTAACTTATTTTTCTTTAGCTGCAAACCCACCAACAGTTAAACGGCGAATTGGTCGACCAAGAAAAACTCTTCAATGTCCATCATTATCATCTTTGACAAGCACTCAATCTCTCAATAATGATAAAAAGAAAAGCAAACGGAAATTGCGTGCAATTGATGCTGAAGATGACGATTTAATTACTGTGGGAAATTTATTTCGAGCAAACAGTCTTAATGGTGAAATTGGTTGCGAACCAATATCTCGCTTTATGGGACAAAATGGTTTACTATCTCAAACACGTAAAACTAGTGAAACAATGATGAATAACGAAGATGATTCTACATTCAAATTGCAAATGCCACAAACAAGTAACGATGATATTGTAATACCATTAAATCCAATCAAAAACATTAAAAATACAACAGAATCATTCTCATTTATGGAAATATTAAACCATATCGAAGATCAGACTTCTATCAATCACGAACCAGTCTTAAATCATGTTATTGAAAATAATGATAATGAATCATTATTTGCTACACTTAATTTAACACGTGATAGCACGTTCGATTCAAATTCTACTATTGATAAAGCTCAAAATATAAATTATAGCGATTGTATTGAAGATATATCCAATGATGGAATCGATCCACCACCACCGCCACCACCACCAACAACAACATTATCGCCAACTAATCTATCTCATTTGTCTGTAACAACATGATAGGGTCAAAATGATCCCAGTTACACGTCCACTTTGTTTTTTACTATTTGACAAGATTTCTTTTTCTTTTTTTTCTTTTATGAAAACTATTCGTTTGTTTTATCTGGCGTATAAATTTGCTTGATGCATTTTTTGCTTGTACTATACATATCTTTCTGTTCATTATTCAATGGGCTTTCAGTTTGCTGTTCATTTCCTTCACGGCAAATGAGTACTTATATTGTGTTTATTGAAACGAGAAACAAAAAAATGCTTAATTTCATAGTGTTCGTTTTTGGTTTTTTTTTCATCTTGTGTAATAATAAAATTTTATTTATTAGAATACAATTGAATCATGTAGAAACAAGAGCGATAAGTTTTATGTTATTGTTTTCTTTTTTCTTTCTATTTCAGGCCATAAAATTTTACCGTCAGATTGTTTATAGCAATGTCTTTAAATCATTCAAAACGTTCACTACAATCATCGTCAAATTCTGATACATCGCCTATTAAGAAGAAAACTAAAATTGCATTAAAAAGAAATTTTAAACATTCACCATCATCATCATCATCGTCAAGTGATGAGATCGACATTCCAGTGGTAAGTTTTGACTTAGATGTTTTTTTTTCTCTAGAAATACACGAATGTCGTAATCCATCTGTTTGCATATGCTGACTTTTAGAGGAGCTCTAGAATGATTATCGTACAGGAAAAATTTTCTTTCGATCTGTATAGATTTAAAAGCAATGCGTACAACACGTGATGACGCTTCCATGCAAAGGTCAGTGTGACATTGAGTACTCCATGACTGATGATAACGTATCGTTTTCAATGTCAAACCGTTTAAAGAAGAATTAAATTTTCTGAAGTTCTTAAATTACTTGTAGACCTATTTGTAATACATTATTATTTTGTTTGTATTCTGTAGTCTTCAGCTATTCGTCGAAATATTTCTACGTCGTCACAAGAACGAACATCAACATCATTACCTAAACGTATCGAAGCATCCCCGCCATCACCACCACCACCACAAGTACCACAAACCACAAGTCGCATTCAAATTCAACGTTCATCGTCGTCGTCATCACATGATTCGAATGGAAGTGATGAAATTGTCACAAAACGTACTAGACAACGAAGAAAAAAACCAACGCCTTCAAATGAACGTTCAACTATTTTAAAACAAATGAAACGTAAAACACAAGAAAGAAAAAATTCAGCTACGTCAACAACAACGACTACTACGATTACTGATAATAATAATAATATGAAGCATAACGATAGCACCAATAGTCTAAATGGAGTACAAAAGAAATGTTCATTTCAATTTAGTGATGATGAAGACGATCCTACTAATGATAGTAAAGAAGATATCAAACCTCATTTTACCACAACAACAACTACTACCAAGAATAATAATATTAAAAATGATATTGACGATGGTGACACAACTGAAAGTTATGAAGTTGAAGATGACAAAAAAGAGAATCATAATAGTATAAATCGTAATATTAAAAATGAATATGATGATGATGATGATGATGATGAAGAAGAAGATGATAGTTCACCGACAAAACGAAAAGGTGGCCAAAGTGGTCGAAAAAATATCCGAAAAATTATCGATGATAAAGAATTAGACAGTCAAACGAAACAAGCTGTTGAAGTTGAATTAGAACGTCGAAGACGTATAGCAGAAAAACAGAAAGAGTATAATGATAGTTTACTCGAAAAATCCACGTATGTCGAAACTGTGCAAAATGAACAAGTAAATAATGCAAATCGTCGTTTAATTCTTGAATTAAACAATGAAACAAACGAACCATTGATTGAAGTTTCACCCAAATTAGTTAAACAATTAAAACCTCATCAATGTGATGGTATCAGATTTTTATGGAATAACGTATTTGAATCACTTGAAGCAATCGAAAATAAAAAACAAGGAAATGGCTGTATTTTAGCTCATTGTATGGGTTTAGGAAAAACTTTACAAGTTATTAGTTTTATTCATACAATTTTTAATTATGATAAATTAACTAACGTTCGAACATGCCTCGTTCTATGTCCAATTAATGCTGGTAAGAAATAGATAATGACAGTCTTTCTCCTGTTCATTCGTATCGTTTACTTAATTATTATAGCAAATTCTTTTTTTTGCTTCTTAGCACTCAATTGGACTAATGAATTTGAATATTGGTTAAATGATGTTGAACCACCTGTTGATAATTATCAATTGACTACAATAAAAGCAAATTTACGTGTTACACATTTGAATTATTGGTATGAACATGGTGGTGTTATGATTATGGGTTATGAAATGTATAGAAGATTAGCAAATGGTTTTGGTTTAAAAAGTAAAAAAATTAAAGCACAAGCATACAAATGTCTTGTTGATCCGGGACCAGATATCATAGGTAAATTGATTGTTTTATAATTTCGTCTTTGGAAAAACTATGCTACTAAATATAATGTTTTGTATTATTTAGTTGCTGATGAAGGACATATATTAAAAAATTCTCAAACAGCTCTTGCTAAATGTTTAACAAAAATAAAAACATATCGTCGTATTGTTTTAACTGGTACACCATTACAAAACAATCTCATTGAATAGTAAGTTCAGTAAAATTAATTCTTGATGTTTCTTTTTCGAATGTCGAATTTTCTCTTTAGTTATTGCATGGTTTCATTTATAAAACCAAATCTACTTGGTAGTCAACAAGAATATGTAAATCGTTTCGTTAATCCAATTCAAAATGGTCAACATCGAGATTCGAATGAAGCCGATGTTCGTTTGATGAAACGACGTGCTTGCGTTTTACATGAATTGCTAACAGGTTTTATTGATCGAAAAGATTATGGACTATTAAGAGATTATTTACCACCGAAATTTGAATACATAATTAATATACGTTTAAGCGATTTGCAAACAACATTATATGATTCATATTTGAAACGGCAAGGAAATCTACTACAACAGCAACAAAATCCAGCGACAGCGAAAAAAGACTTTAAATCAGTTAAATTATTTGCTGATTATCAATATTTACAAAAGATTTGGACGTAAGAAAGAAACACAGACACTTTTGCTTTGTTGCAGAAAATGTTTATTGCTATTTTAGACATCCATTTTTACTTTATCCACATTTTATTGATCATTGGAAAAAACGATTAAATAAAGAAGCAGATGATTTTCTTGACGATAGTGAATTTGAAACTATGTTCACTGATGAAGAAGATGAAGAAATGGAAGAACAGAAAAAAACCAAAAAGAAATCAACCAAAAAAGAAAATGAAAAAGAAAAAAAAGTAAATAGAATCAAAGCCCTGTGCCAGACCTAATCTTCTGGTTAGAGATATATGTATGACAAGATTTTTTTTCTTGAGTTGCACGTGAAGTTTATAGTAACATTTTCTATACTGTAAAACTAAGTAGATTTCGTCTTATACATCTACAACAGTAATTGATATGATGAATTTTAATTTGTTTTTAGAAGGGTAAAAAGAAAACTTTTAGTGGCTTTTTAATTGACAATGTTGGTGACGAAGATGAAGAAGGTGAAATATCAGCAAATAATCATGAAAATTCGAAATCACAAAAACGTACAGTTTCTAAATCATCCAATTGTTCTTCTGTAACAACTGTTGAATCAGGTTCCTATGAAGACGACGATGGGTCCATTGATGGGTTGGATTCAGATGTAAAATTTAAATCAGGCGATGGCAATGAAGATACTAATCAACAAGTTGAAATAGTGAAAAATTATCGAACTCGAAGTCGAACAGCAGCTAAAATTAAAGAAAAACAGCATTCGTCAAAAACTGCCAATGGAAAAAATCTAAATTTAGCAGTGTTTGATACTGGCAACGATAATGTGCCTACAAACGAATCAACTGATGATGATGATGATCAAAAAGAGAATCCTGATGAGCCATGGTTAAATGATATGCGTGAACAATTTTGGTTTCCATTCTTAGATATGTTACCAGATGAAAGTGAATTTGATACATATTTAGGTGGAAAAATAGTTCTACTGAAAGCAATTCTCGATAAATGTGCCGAAATCGGTGATAAAATTCTTCTTTTTTCACGTAGCTTATATGCATTAAATTATATCGAAAGATTTTTATATTATTTACAAAAACAAAATGAAGAAGAATACAGAATAGAATGCGAATCAAGAAGACAACTACGTCAAATGCTCGCTTCAAATGGGACTCATGATGATAATAATATATGTGGATATGTACCGAAACCAGTTGAATGGATACGTGATCAAGATTATTTTCGAATGGATGGTCAAACAGATGTAACATTAAGAAAACGTTATGCTAAAGAATTTAACGATGAAAGCAATTTACGTGCAAGATTATTTCTCATATCGACATTAGCCGGTGGAATTGGAATTAATTTAGTTGGCAGTAATAGAGTTATTGTATTTGATGCAAGTTGGAATCCAAGGTAAATATCCTAAATATCTGCTCGAGTTAGTAAGCATAGAATGGTGCACCAATGCTCGTGAGCAACATGAAAATAATTTGATTGCTTTTATCAAAAGTCTTACAGCATATATATCTTCGAAATCGATGATAACCTAGAAAACTAATCATTGCCTATTTTTTTTTCTCAGTCATGATACACAAGCAATATTTCGATCTTATCGTTTTGGTCAAAAGAAACCCGTGTATATCTATCGATTTTTGGCTCAAGGTACGATGGAAGAAAAAATCTATCAACGACAAGTTGTCAAACAATCATTATCTCAACGGTAAAAAAAGAAAGAAAAAGAAAAGCTTAAAATAATTTTTATTTTCTAGTGTTATTGATGATCATCAATTGGATCGTCATTTTACTGAAAACGACATAAAAGAATTATATAAATTTACACCTGAACAACTACCTGAAGCACGTCAAATATCAACAACAGACTTTAATTATGCTATACCAAAAGATCATTTATTACTTGATCTACTCTATGAACATAATCGATGGATTCATTCGTATCATTCGCATGATTCATTATTAGAGAATAAACTTGACGAAGGTCTTACTGAAGAAGAACGCCGTAAAGGTAAATTCAATTAATTTTATGTTTTTCATTCCTATTTTTCAATAATTCTTTTGCAAAACTAGCTCTTGAAGAATACGAAAATTTAAAACGTTTGCCCGATGCTCGCCAATTAGCTGCACAACGATTACAAAATCAACAATTAGCAGCAGCACCTATGGCTCAAATTCCACAACTTCAGCAAATGTATTTAGAATTTCTTCGATCGATGTCATCGGATGATCAGCAAAATCTTGATTATTCAAAAATACTTCAATATGCATATGAATTTGGTCTTGGTCAACAAACAACGGATACTCAAACAACAAGTATGTTTCTTTTTCTTCTTACTCAGTTCATTTTGTTTTTAATTATTATTTCAGCTACGTCAGATTCAAATAAAGTTCCAAAAACTTCAACTGATACGAATGACGTTGTTCTTTTAGAAAGTGATGATGATTCAACTGCCAAAGCAGAATAAATATTTACGAGATTTAGTTAGTAGAAAATGCAACATTTGTCTGATAGTGCATATAGTTAACCTTTCAATGCTTTTTTTTCTTTTTTCTTCTTCTATATATGTATAAAATATAACAATTATCTTTCGATGATTGACTTTTCTCCTTACTTTTTGTTATATATATTGTCTTTGTTTGATGAGTTTTTCGTTTTTCTTTTTTGATATGATATGTTTGAAGAAAAAAAAAGAGATTAAATTACAATAAAATTTGAAGGCAAATCTTAGTCGATAAATCGCAATGTTATTCTATGCAATTCCCACACATTCGGGAGTATCAAGGATAATTTGGGTGCTGTAAATAAAATAATTGTTCAGCATTTGGCATCCTCAGATATTCATAGCATTCGGAGTATCAACAATTATTAGCAAACAAGAACTTCTAGACATTGCGAACTATGAAGCATAATGCAGCAACTGAACAAACAAAGAATACGGAGAATTTGGTGGTGTACAGCATAATATAGGAACTTAAAATCAATGAATCAGTACATCCGGCGGCGAGCGTAGGCGCATGTCTATACTTTTTCTGTAGGGAAACATTTTAGTTTCTTGCTTCACTTTATTAAGGAAGTTACTAGTATGCGATGATGAACCAATCTTTTTATATTAATTTATGATGAAGGATTTTCTAAAAATCAAATGGTATCAATAAAGAAAGATCTATCTATGTTTTTAAAACTTTCTGTCATAATCAACAAATAACAGACAATACTACGTATCTGAATCAACAGACAGAGACTGCCTTTCTTTCAATCTTCATAGAACCTAAGAACTTAACTCAGCTGATAGAATGATACGCTGTAATGATTTATTGATGGTAGTGAAAACTTTTCTTGCTTTCCGATTCCAATATAAAGACTAATAGATGAGACTTTTCCATCAGTTTGTTTTAATCTAGAAATTTACAGTTAATCGATTCGATCTTCATATGCTTCAGATATTATTTTTTGGGCAATATTTTAATAACTAAATGAAGTAAATTCATTACAAGTGACGATGGTTGAGCGTATATGGCCTATCTTTCCTTCGTAACAAAGATAAATCCGTATCTCATATTTATGCTAAAGATAATCTTGAAATAGTTGATAAATTAACGCAAATTGCTGAACAAAAAGGTTGAACAAACCTTTTAACCGGTCGTAATCAGTCATTATCAGATCAACTTTTTCTCTCAACAAA